GCTCAGAGCTTTCACTTGGGATTGATATGGATTGATATTGAGTTTGGAATTACCAACAAAAGCATGGTAACAAGTGCCAGGAGATTCTTGAATCTTGGCGAAGCTGAGGAGAGTACCACCTTGACTTGGACCCGGCACAGGGTCTTCTGCGCCTACGAGACCCACATGCCGAGTGGCTCACTGAGTGCGTGCTGTAGTGAACTAAATCCTCCAAGATGCGGAAACGACCTCCGCATCAGAGAAGTGGACCTTCTTGGTAGAAAGAAACCTTCAGTGACCTCTCGGTGACTGCAGAGGTCCTTTGTTTTTGTCCCGAACCGTCTCCGGTCGCCCGCAGCTTGGCCGTGGCCGAGCGGCGCCCATCGCAGGGCGGAGGTGTTCTCCGCTGCCGCGGACGACCCGGCGGCCGAAGCGACTGAAGCGGCGGACGCGAACCCCACGGCTGAAGGGACTGAAGCGGCAGGCGGGGGGGGCAATGGTATATTTGTATCTATTTGTATTTATGCGGTGCAGGTGGATGAATGAAGGCCAATTCTGTTGACATCTACCCCAGCATGGGCGTGGGTGGGGGAGCCATACATATGCATACGCGGGCTCCCCCACCCCAGCATGGTAGGTTTAGCTCTTTTGGTCGACGATTCTGTTTCATCTTGGCCAACCAGGTGCCGACGCCCACGCCGACGCCGGTGCCGACGAAGGGACACCCCAGGCGCGCGAAGACGTTCGAAATCATCAGCTTAGAGTCCTGAGTCTCATGAGGGGAAGAAGCAAAAAGCTGAAGTGAACGTCATGTGGATCCCAAGGTGGCAAGAAACACCATCACCCCCACGGATTCGACCGATTTCGACAGATCCCATGCGCTCTTCCATGGGATCCGGCAGAATGGATCTGACAGCTGGTGCCGCGGTGAGAGTATCTCAGGAACCGCCGGAGATCTTCCCAGATGGAGTGCCAGAGAAGTGGATGGTGAAAGACATTGGACCAGCAACGATCGAGCAGCTGAGGCCGATGATACTCCCAGGTTCTGAGAAGTTTCGGTGTGATGGATTTGATTTGCATGGTACATCAGAGTCCCTCACCTTGCACATCAGCAGATTTCCTTTGTGAGGATACTGCTACGACGGAGTCGGGGTGCAGTGTGGAACGGTTCTTTGGGTTGCTGTGAGGCCCGGGTGACACACTGCGCTAGCTGTCAGCTGTCAGTTGGGGATGGGTCAAGCGAGATCGACCTAGGACCTAGGTGACCCGAAAGACGTGCTCATTCCTATGCTGTTTTTTCACACCAACAAGACCTAGTCCGTCCCAGATCAGAATCTGTCACACGGTCCCCATGGGAACCAGCTGACCAGGACGGCTTCCAAAAGGGCACCACAGATTTCATCGCCCTGCTAGAGGGGCGCCTCACTGGAGCTGGCGAGGAGAGGGCGTTGGTTTTCAAGAAGTGTCCGAGCCATGATCTCATGCACATCGATGTGCGCTCAGTTGGTCAGATGGGTGCGATAAAAAAGAGGAGACCTCCCAGTGAAAGACCCCCTGGAAGAAGTAACGTAGACCGATCATATCCAATGATCCATTGGGCCAGGGTGGCCACGTGTGGAAATACACAAAGATAGATGGATCGATGCGGCACACATGACCTATACTCGCGATGACTCGTCAAGACACAGATGGACTAAGCCACGGTGTCCAGAGGTGTGAACCGTTTTGCGGATGTTTTGTGGATTCCGGTTGATGGGTGGCGAAGCCTTGGCAAGTCCAGGCTACCTTGAGGGTGCATAGGTCCTCATAGGTATGGGGATGAGTTCTTGAACCTTTACTTGACCAAACAACATCATCATTTTATACCATCTTCAGGACGAGGAAGACGAGGAGGAGGAAGATGCAGAAGATGAAGAGGGAGATGACGAAGAGGGCACGCTTTGTTTCATTTATTATGTATGTGAAGCAAACAAAATCCCGTGGATTGATTCGCGCCGCCCGTACTTGTTCAAAGAGCACTCACAATTCGCACCGTGTTGGATCAAAAGAGGTCGGCCGCCGTCGATCGATTCCTTGGGGTTATTGAGGCGACGACGGGGAAGCTGGAGGGAAGGCGGGCTTGCCCAGGCGGAGCAGAGAATGGGCTCTGAAGCAATGGCATGTTGGGATGGGACGCAGAAGAGCAAAGAATGTCATCGTACAGCTGTGCAAACTTTGCAAACAGATGAAACACAGTTCAGTGGGATTTGCCGTGCGACGGTGAGAGAAAGACTACGGTGACCACAGTCTTCGTGGCATGAAGTTCTGGGCGGGTTGCTCCGACGCTACGACCTTGTGCAGGAAAGACACAAAGGTAAAGGAGAAGACAGCAGACTTCGAGATGGCGGCAGTTCTTGGCTGGCGACTTAAAAACTGCGTTATGCTGGTGTGACAGTCATTATCATTAAGGAGATGCAAAGAACGTCACCCTATTGTGGTAGTAGGATAAAAAGATCCAAGATTTCAATCATCAAGATGGTTCACAATCAGATCGGAAAGCTTAAAGTTATGAATTGCATGATGTACAGGCCGTGATAGCCGAAAGCTCCTCGAGACTTTTGCCGAAAACACCGCGAACGCCGGGGGCTGAGTGCAGCGCCATGACCGTCTCATCACATTTATTCAGCACTCGACACTTGACGACCACGAAGTGCTTTGAAGCATTTTGAAGCTTCGACTTTTTTCAGGTGCCATTCATCTCAGGAACCGGTGAGGCAGGGCTGTGCTGCTGCGTGCAAAAAGAGCATTTATAGATTGATGCTTTGGAGCGAAAAGGAGTGTTTGGATGGGGGCAAGTCCCTCTCTGACAGACATCTCTGGCGTGATTTCGAGTCACCAGAGGCTAACAGAGGCTAATCACCAGTGGTCTTTCCATAGCACTGGGACTTTCAAAGTCTTGGGAGTCCGAACATCGGGGCGGAGCATCCTCAGGGCCTCCTGCAGATTCTCCGAGGGGCGCCCGTGTCGGGGGCGCCAAGCTGGGGCGAAAAGCAGAGCAGCGGGTTCTTTTCACCGGAGAGTCCAAGGTGAAACTAGTTCACCATGGATTCAATAGCCTGAATCCCCGAATCACGATTGTTGTACAACAGATTTTAGGCTTCAAAACCAGGTCAAAGATTTTTTTAGAGTGGTTTTGGAAGGCTAGGGGAGAGAGATGGTTTTCATGTCATCGATTTTGGGTCGATTCTTCCTTTTTGGCCGCACGATTTGCCCGTCCTTCCGGTTGGAAAGGCCTGGTCTAAAGGCGTGTGACTTGAAACCGGCGGTTTAGTCGCCGTTCGACCGCCAGACTTGGCGGTGTTTCACGTTAACAAAGGGGTGATGCATCTCACCTCCGGCTTTTTTCGAGAAAGCTGGATTGGCAAAGCCATTTGCACATAGAGAAGCGAACATCGTGTCCTGGATGAAAATACCAGGCCTCCAAGCGAGTTGTTGAGGTTGGAACATCGGAAAGCAACATGTCTCCTCAACAGCCCGTGGGCTGGGCTGGGATCATAGAGAAACTTCTGACCTGCCCAACCAATTGGCATTGGACATGATACAGAATTTGCAATGACCATTCGCAACTTGGCATTTGTTTCGAATCAGAACTGAAGGATACTAAAGGTATTTCCTCCTTTTGGTGGATCTTTGATGGTTGAGCTCGGGAAACATGTGGCGGCCGCGTCTCACTTTGTGAGGAATTCCACAGTCAGTTTGCACCTCGAGGAAAAACAAGCATTCTCGTGTTCAGGCTTTCCCACTCGACTCGGTTTCTTTGATCAGTAGGCCAGCTTTTCCCTGGGCCATCAGCAGGTTCGTGCTTGCTTGAGATCGTCCTTCGCGCGGTAGCCGCAGCCGCCAAGCGAGTCGTAGCTCTTTGATTCTACGAAACGGTTCCCTCGGTTTCCCTTGGCGGTGATCAGCCATGCCTGGAGGTGTCGGCCTGCTCCCTGCAGTATTGGCAGTGATTGGTGCCTGTGGGGGCATCTATGCAGGGATTGTGCATGCTGCCAAGCTGGCAGCAAACAATATCGTCCATGAATACGCTCCGACCACCAACCAGTCTGGAGTGACCGGTCTAGTTGGCCGCCTCTGTCAGGACACGGTACGGTCGTACGGTGGCGTGGTGTTTCAAATGATTGCCCCGCAACAAAAGAAACATGGTGCCAAGGGGGTCTTCCGTTTGAAGAACCGCATGTCCACAAACAAAAAAGCTAAAAGCGCAAAGGGTCCAGTTTTTCTACTTGGGGAGTCAATCGACCGGGACCAAAAACCAGTGATCTCCACGTTTTTCGTTGCAGACACTGGGCTCACACACGCTGCCATGCCTCCAGCAGCTGGTACACCCGGGAAGAGACCCACATGGAACCTGTGATTTTCCTCCAAAACACCCAGTGGTTTTCAGGTTCCATCTGGACCTCTTCCAGCTCGCCGTATCGCTAGGACATCACTTGCATTCTCTTTGCCTTGGCAAACACGGCTGCTGCCTGGGCTCCGGTTCTGGCGGCCGTCTTGGTGGCTTTGCGCCACTGGCATCCGCAGCAGAGCAGCTAGCCAGCTAAAGTGCGGCTGGTGGGAGTCTTTATGAGCAATGTCACAGACGCGACGCGACTACTGAAACTATCTAAGAGCTAATAGAAAGGGAAGAGCATGTGCGATCTGAGCGACGACATGTTTGCATACATTCCTCTTGTGGAGAAACACGCAGTCTGACGCTTCATCCCCTCGTGCCGGACTTGGGTATTGGCTGAAGGTTCGTGGTTGTCATATTGGACAGAGGGCAAGAAGATTCAGTGGTCAAAAGTTGGAAGTCTGTGTAAATGCTTCTGCTTGACACTGCAGCTGCTTAGCCGCAGAAAACCGAAAACACGATCAATAACGTGATGCGCAGGTTCTAAGATGCAGCCACTCCGGAATAGATCGAACAGCCTTTCCACCTTTCCCCTCAAAAAGCACGAGACAGTCTGAAAACAATCCATTTCGCCAGTGAGTTTGAGTCGTATCCCCCTTCTTTCGAATTCAGCGCCTGCATGGCGGAAGGTCGATCCAATGACGATCCCTGAGAGCCATGTTGGATAGAAATGCTCTTCTCTTCATCGGGCTCCAGTGCGCCCCCCGCCCGTGTCGGCACGGCCGATCCTGGGAGAAGGGACGTGAGTGAGTTCCGGACGGGGAGTGTTTGGTTCGGCCACGCGGAGGTTCGGCTCACGGTTTGCCAACTCCTTCCTGGTGACTGCAAGGGGCTTAGAGGGGTTTGATGAAGAATGAGAATCTGTCGAAACTTTAGATCTTAAGCCTGTTTGGGAGAGCAGAAGCTGTTCCTGGCTCTCAGGCCGCAAGATATGAGCTGCTGGAAGTGGGGTCCCTACAAAAGGGGTTGGTTTCAACCGCCGAAGTGAAGTGATACGTCGAGGCTGGAGGCATTTTTCAATTTGCTGGAGCACAAGTGGCGACCAATGTGGCGCGCATGTTGGTGATGAGCTCAGATCTTTTCGGGATGAACCCGAAGGCACCTCCGAGGTTGAAGAGCAGCCAGGAAAGCGAAAACATGTCAAAACCATATCTGAGACAAAGACATCCCTAGGTTGCACTCTGGGGACATAGTTTTGATTTTTTGTTTGCATTGCCGCAGTGTTTGGTCATCCCAATGTAATACCTAAGTGGTAGTACCAGCATTCATACTTTGCACCGTGGGAGAACGGCCCGCCACCGCTCTGTGGTTCTACCACCTTCCTGAGCCTTCACCTTTCAGCCGCGACCCGCTCGACGGTCGACGTCCCCCGGAGAATCCAGGTGTCACAGGTGGCGGGCCTGTTGACCGACAACTTCGCCTTGAAACGAATGTACGTCGCCTCAGAGGCGTGAAACTCCGTGAGTGAGCGCCTTCACGAGAGTGAAGGCTGCAGGATGGCGCCATCCTCTTCAGAGTTCTCCCATCTTTTTGCAGATCCAACAGAACTGTGGTAGCTTGATGCGGTGCTTGATGCCTCTGCTCAGCGAACACGTGAAGAGCCATGCTGTCGACCAGGCTCTCAACCTGGTTGACACCTCAGATCGTTGTCAGTCCCAGCAACCTGCGACCAGGGGTGTGAAAGAGGGAGATCCACAGGTCGTGTAGGGTACGCCATTGGATTCCACTGGTAGATAGAAACAATGGGATCTAAATCCGAATTCTTTCTATCTTTACTGCGAACACAAGTTGTGCTATTTTGTCAATTTGTGCTTTTTGGCAACCCAAAGAACCAATCCGCCAACTGTGAAAATTCCGAGGTTCTTGCAGTGGCGATGCTTGCGTGTGGCCAACATCATAGCAGGATGCTGTTTGCCCTGAATATAGGCCTCCATGATGGGCTGAGATACACTCTAAGCCTAGGGTTCCATCCAAGTGGCTTTGGCTTTACTGAGTCTCGCCTCTGTTTACTTGAATGTCTTTTGGCTTCTGCACCGGTCGGTTGACTTCATCTTGACTCTGTTGATTTCCATTGGATGACCAGACATTTGCCCGACCTCTGGTGGTGAACTAGCTGAAGATCGTCCGTAGGGCACGGTGAAGCCACATGACGGCCCTCCTCATGCTTTTGCAAAAAGCAAGGACACATCTACAGAACGAAGTTTCTTTTCTTATCTTTTCTTTTTCCCTCCTCTGTTGGTGTCGTGTCTTCTCATGGTCTGCCCAAATTGGGGAACTCGACGTCCACTTTCTCCACGGTCTTTCGGAACGCACGTCTCTTTCCAAAAAAAAGGCACACTCATTCGCACGACTTCCGCTCCCGCACCTCATCCACTCGACCCTCCAAAGGGCAACCCCCCCCGTGGCGCCGGAAAGGCGACGACACGCGGCCGCGCGGCGCGTCGAGAAGGCCTCGGCTTGCTCTTCGCCTTTTCGCAGCCCGTGACGAAGTCGATGCCGCCGGCGGTCGCCGCGGCGCGGGAGGAGACGCGGAGGGAGGAGGGAGGAGACGCGCCAAAGGATGGAGAGAGAAGAGCCTATGAAATCTATGAATTGGTCGTTTTGTATATGTTTGTTATAGTTTCAAAGAGCCCATTTTTCTTTAAGTGAAGAGCGATTTTGTAGAGTAGACTCACAAAAAGAGGAACCCAAAGATGGATTGGCTTAAAGAGAAACTCTCCACTTGGGAAGCTTCCGGCGACCGGAGCCGGTAGACTTTCCGGACCGGATCGGAGGCGGTGTCTCCGCAAGCGGGAGGAAACCACTCCGTTGTGGGAGGAACCGGAGGAACCGGAGGAACAAACGGATGGGACTTGGAGTGGAGGACTTGGCCATCATCAACGGATGGGACTTGACCTGTGATAAGGCGCCCAGCGGTCGACGCGGTCGACGCGGTCGGACGCCGCGAGTGGCCGGATGTTGGGGGGGGTTTCCGAGACGCGTTCCGAAGAAAAAGAACCTGAAGTAGTGGAGGACAGGAGAGGAAACAGGATGAAAGAAGATTGTGGGGAACACCTCGACAGCTAGATGGTGCAGTACATTTTTTAGTACATTTGTATCGTAGTTACTGGTATATATAATTACTTCTACTTTTCAATGCAGTTCTCATCCACCAACCCTTGCAGTCTTTGGTCCGCAACCCAACAGGGTAAACCCATGTAAACCCTAAACCCTCGGGTAACCCGGTTGCTCTTCTTCGCTCAGATCGGCCGGTACTTGGCGCCCTTTGCCTATGCCGTGGTCTCGTCCAGTCATGGATTCAACTTTGCAGTGCTGCTGAGCCAGAAGCTCAGAGTGGGCGCAAGCTGATGGAAGCCATGCATGGCCCCCTGGTGAAACTCCACTCTCAAGCGGCTATCAGCTGCTTTCTTTTGAGACACTGTATTTTGGTCATCGATTTGGGCCCCACTACAAAGCATCATAAACAAATATTTGCTGGATTCGTGTTGCACGTCGTGTTTGCGTTTGATTCACCTCAGGCTGTTTGATGTATGCTTTGATGTCTGTGCTGCGGATGATGGTCACAGCGCCTCACCGAGAGCGATGGATGGTCTTTGGTCACTGTTTGTGTGGAAAGGACCTGGCAACGTACCATGGGATCTTGTGGTTTATGGAGTAGTCAAAGCATGTCTTAATAATCTTAAAAGCCAAAAAAAACACATTTTTTGCTTCAACTTCAGGTCCTGGAGCCTTGAGATACCTCCCCGCACTGGAATTCTCAGGTCCTGGAGCCAGCCTCTCGCAGAGAGACCAAGAATGGAGCTTCACAACCAACTGCCCAGCCCTTACAGAGGCTTTTACGACACAAGCCCAAGCAAGGAAGAGGTTGCTTGTTGCAGTCGCTACTAGGAGCAATGTTCGCTACTAGGGGCTCCTGGCCGTACTACTCGGAACAAGAAGCTACTAGGGGCTCCTGGCATCGCTACTAGGAGCAAGGATGCAGCTTCAGGTTGCTCAGAAGCTTGGCGGCTTATTGCAGCAGGTGTGGCTCTCAGGTGTGCTCTCTTGATGGCCCCCAGCGCATTGGACCTGAACCTGGCATTGGACCATTTGTCATCCTGGTGAAGGTTGTGGATGGCGTGACCTCTTTGAGAAGGGACAAAGTTCTCCAGCTTCTCATCATCAATACACTCGTCGGTCTCCTCAGCCGCTCTGAAGTTTGGGTGTGTCTCCAAATACCTTTCAACATGTTCCAAGGATGCAAGTGAAAGACTTGGAAAGGAACAGAGCACACCTCGATCTTTCACTCACTCAAAGATTCACCCTCCAGTCGTCTTTCTGGTCCTTTGACTGCTTGGCACGTGACGTTTGTCAGGTCACCAACGTGCAACACTGAGAAAACAGGAAAGCGGAGACTCATGGCGAGACTCAGAGACACACTGAGTCAGGAGTAACTCATAGCAAAGAGACACACTGGTGCCACTCAGAGCAACTCAGAGCAACTCAGAGACACTCTCCACTTTCTCCAGTCTTTTTCAAAAGACGTTGGTCCTGGAGAAGACGTTGGGTCCAGAGAGACCAAGGGGCCTCTCCAGGAACCCCAGGTTTTTTTGTTTGTTTTGGCACGGATGTCTCCATTGCTGCCGAGGTCTTCCTCTACCCTTTGAATTCGGTGCATTTCCCGGTGCTTTTCAAGCAGCCTGAATCCCATGGGAGTTTTGGACATCGTTGATGGCCTCTTGTGAGAATTCAAGTTGAAGCACCAACCTCTCAGGGTCGCAGAGCGAGAGAAGTCCGAGCTGGATCGGACAGTTGGGGGACCCGTTGACCCTGGGACAGTGGATCCACCATTGGGCATCAAAGTGTATTGGGCATCTGAAATCATCGGATGAGCTGCGGTTTCTTTTCGGATGTGCTGCTCACTGGCAAACATTGGCATTTGTTGAAACACCACCTTTTTTGGGAGGTTGGTAGCTAATTTGCTACTATAGTAACGAGGGCATCGCTACGAACGTAACAAGGGCATTACTAGGAACAAGAAGCTACGAACGTAGCAAAGGGCATCACTGGTCGGAGCGGGAGGAGAGGTGGACGGGGGTTTTACTGGTGCCGCGGACCCACGACCGGCGCCCCCTCCAGGTCGTGGATGACCTGCTGCACCAGGTGATGCTCGCCCTGGACATCAAAAGGAACGGCGGCTTTGACGGGACGGGACCAGTCCAAGCCCGTTGAAGATCAAAACCGATGCGAAGATGGCAGGAAAGACATGTGGAGAAACTACAATGCTTTAGTTTCTCTTGGTGGGGTTGTGCTGATCTCAGCGCATATGGCATATGCGAAGCAGGATCAAGCAGGGCTACCGGTGTCGCTCCCCGCTTTCTCAGGCAGGACCCTTCCTGTCAAATGCAATGCCAGCCACCCAGACCCGAAGAAATGGGCGTGGGAATATTAGGGACAGACAACTGAGCCAATTGATGCAAAGTGCAAGAAGTGGCAAATTCCTTTTGGCAATGGACCACTGAACAGGAAACTATATTGTTTTTGTGCAGGATCTACATGCTGGAGTCATACTCGACCAACCACAAGGTTTGCCAATTGTGGGCCTGGTCCTTATTCACTGGCTTGAAAGACGGAACACAACATGCCAATCTGTAAGTTCTAATTTACTACTATTGTTTCTACTAGCAAACATTCTTCCGGTCCTAGTAGTAAGGCCCTCGCTCCTAGCGATGCACTTTGTTACGTTCTGTTCCTTTGTTCCTACTTGTAGGTGGGAGTAAACTTCGGCATCGTCGGACAGATTTCTACCATGGCTTTGCTGGCCGGTATGGTGCTCGAAGCCCAGCGCAGGTAATTCTGCGATCCGCATCATTGGCTTAACGGATAGGATTCCTTGATATTCCTTGCTACTAGTAGCAAGTGCATTGCTACTAGTAACAAGGGCATTACTACTAGTAACCAGAAGCTACTAGTAGCTTCTTGCTATCCTTTTTATATCTTTTTATGTTGACCTTGCAGAGGCTGCTGAGCAGCAGCTTTGGCAGTGGCTCACTAGTTTTCAATTTGGCCTCTGCCTTAAAGCATTTGGTCTCACCACAGCTTGACGGATTTCTCGTAGCCTCAAAGGTGGGTGCATGGATTGTCACCATCTCTGTAAATAACATCGCCCACAGCTCAGAATCCATTCGCTGGGCGGAGTCCGGCTCACCAAGCGGAGTCCGGCTCCGTGTGTGGTTTTCTGTGTGTCGCACGTCGGTGTTGTAGAGAAAGGTGGACCACTCGTGCATGACCCCTGCGATCTCTGCACTTGGTGGATGCCGAAGTTCTCCACCCTTTGTTTTCAGGTCACCACTTACTTCAACTCCATCTCCCAAGAACGGCTTCAGCAGAAAGAGCGTGGCCGGTTCATCGTAGCGTCCCCAGACAGATAGAGAGAGAGAGAGAGATCAATTTGTGTGATTTGAAGCAAAGACCCCCAAGAAGAGGAATATATGGGTGTGTATTAGAGAGACCTGCTTTCAGAACCCGAAGAAGGGAAAGACATCCGCTTGGGGGATGTTAGGGGGTCTCCCTATTTGAAAAATAGCACACACCTATATTTATATTATATATATATACACTTGTTCCTAGTAGTAGGGCCGGGGAGCCCCTAGTAGCTTTCTTGCTCCTAGTAGCGATGCCCTTTGTTCATCTTTGTTCCTAGTATATATATATATAATATGGAATGAATTGCAGTGACTCTGGGGGTCTCCTTGTATTCTGAAGTCCAAGCCACTGGAACAGTCCCCTAGCCCAGCATCCCGCGGCCGCGAGTTGCGGCGCCACGGCAGCCGCAACATTCGGTTCTTCACGAGGCCAACATCATGACCATTTTCAATCTCGGCAGCATTTGTGGAAGTCTTCTCTTTGGATGGGCCGACACCTCGGAAGCTGACCCCAAACCTGCGGGCCGCGGCGGCGAACCTCGGGCGGGGTCAGAACCGGGTTTTAGTACATGGGGCGAAGGGGTATTTGGGGCGCAGAGCTTGAAGTCCCGGGGGGTTTTCACCATGGCCGCTTTCGATGGCCAATTTTGAGTCAGGTCTTGTCAGCCCATGAGAACAGTGTGACTGGCTCGGCCAAGGACTCAGGTTCTCCATGGATCTCGGCATGTCGCATGTCGTTCATTTGGCGAGGTTGGACTGGACAGCGAATGAACTCCGAAGAATACGTATGGACATCCATGAATCAAGAAGGATATAGTGCTCACATCCCTTCAGATTGTGAGGTGAACCTGCTGCTTTGTGGCCTCATGATCAAGATCATCTTACTTGCCTGCGACTTGGAACGGGAGAGCTTCGTTCCTCAAACGTCTGTGACTTGCAGGTGCTGCTGCGGAGGGAAGGAAAAGGTACCTTCTCAGGCCAGCATCTCGGAGTTCAGTCTTCCAACCCCTCCACCTGGTTGTTCTATGTGAAGGCTTCGCCAGGTAGGAGCCTGGTTGGTAAGGCTCATCCAGGGTGGTTCCCGGTCGTGAGCCCAACACCAAGTGAACCTTAGATGGGGCACGTGGATTCTTCGTCTTTGCGTCCCTAGTCATGTTGGCCACTCCAGTGGCGTCCCACGATCGGCTCTGGTCGCCCCGGCTCAAGTACCGTATGGCACCGTTGGGGCCCATCATTGTCCCGGCAGTGTCGTTCACCGATGGAGACCACAAGTGGTGTCAAAAGGGCGTCGTCTCCTGAACCCCACGAGACCGTGAAACGGCGACCACGTGAAAGCGAGGAATGGCACTCTGCACCGCCCGAGAAGGCCGCGGAGGTGGCGGAGCGCATTGGCGGTGCAGACCGTTGTGCGGTGGGTATTTGCAGAGACTTCGTCGCAAGCCGCTGGGAAAAGCTGCTGCCATGGGCGCAGAAATTGTGTGCTTTTGGTGACGCCGCAAAGGATGAGCTATGGTATTGGGAAGGTTATAAGGCAAAGCCCAACGAGCCTCCCCGCGAGCAGTTTTGCCGTCAAATTCGGCAAGACTTCAAGAACTTCCAGCACGAACTCGTGGAGGAAGGCTACTCAGAGGAAGACGCCAATGCGGTCACATCAAGTGATGTGGCTGACTCTTTCTGTGACCTCGTTCTTGCTCTCTTGGACTTGATGCCAGTGGCCGCCGAGGGACGTTGCTTCTCCTTGCGTGTGGAGATTAATCAAGAGGGCCGGCTGAAATTCCATGATGAACGTGCTCTCACCACGATGAGGCTTCAAGTCCCCTTGCACGGACCAGGCCCCATTCTGGCCATGCCTTCAGAGGTGAACTGGGATGTCTGGGATGCGGCCTATGGGCTCCTAAACCAGACTGAAGAGATCGACCTTTCAGCGATCCAAGAATGGAATCGGAAGATTCTTTGCAAAGCAGATGGCTCGATGAGTACTCCAGAAGGAAGCCTCATTCTACTGAAGGGTGGTGAGTCAAAGAATCGCCCACCACTGCAGAGGTTCGCATATCCGGGCGAAGTGGAGACCAAGCTTCTTCTGACCTTGGACCAGATTCCAGAAGCCGTCAAGGACCAAACCGCGTAGCGCGATGCTTTCGTCTCAACTTTCGAAGTAGCTTTGCTTCCACCATTTGGTGACCGAAGTATATTTAATATATATATATATATAGAAGAACTAAAGACAAAAGAATCCGGTGAAAGAGATCAATAGGTTGAGTGGTGTTGGTCTCCCGCTATCTCCCACGTATTGAGCTCTAAGTATTGAGTAGTGCGTTCTTGAAAGCATGATGGCACTATCAGTATATTGAAAGATAGTGATAGCCTGATGGCAACTGTGTGCCGTTGAGGTTGGAGTTAGACTTGCATAATTGGTGTCACCTTTGAGAGGATCAGCAGATTGATCTGCATATGCAAGGGGAAGAATCCGAGGAAGAGGAGGAGGATGTGCCAGACTGATACATCAAAGGCCCCAATCTCCAGAAACAGGTGGATCCTGAAGCAGCTGAAGTCGATGAGTTCCCCCGGGTGGATCGCGCCGGAAGGGTCGCCATGGATCACAGCAGCGCGGTGGGAGAAAAAGATTGGTCTGCGTGACTTAGTTCAACTGCGATTTACTAGCGATGGCCTAGCAATGGTCTCCAACCAACTGATGGCCTCCAACCTAGCGATGGCCTCCAACCGATTCCAAGCTAACCCTATGGCCCTATAGAGAATTAGTTAAGGGTATGCCCATGCATGTAGGTTTGCAATGTTCATGTGTGATGTGGCCTTGGATTCTGTCCTCTACGGAGACTCCGAAGTTGCCGTGGTCAACTGCGCTGCAGGTGGTTCTCGACCACATTCCGACTGAAGCTAAAGCAAGTGCTTGTGGGTTCGCTTGGTCACTTTGCCTTTGGGCAGCCTTGATAGAGCCATTCAAAGAGGGTCTGGCTCAAATATATTTACATAATTATATAATTGGTTGCTTCTCAATGTTCCTGTTCAAGCTGGGGTTTGAATATACTTTTTGAGCCACACCCAAGTTGTGCAAAATCTCCTGGCTGTCTTCGAAGCCCGTGATGCCCAAAGACCAACAGAACAAGAATTGCTTGCAAAAAGTGGAAGACGACGTTTGATTTACCAGTTTTCACATTGCACGCCTTGATGTATTTTGTGCGCCTGTGCCTGATCTCGTATCATCTCGTATCCTTTGCAAAGTTGTGGTTGGCAGCCAGACAATGCCAAAGGAAGCATCACGGCAACAAGGATTGATTCAGCTTCTAGCTGCTAGCAACCCAGCAAATCAGAACGCGCATTGAATGCGGAGTCACACCGCTCTTGACCAATCCGGTTCGTCGCAACCATCAGCATGATCATTTCACCTCAGCTCTCCCCAACGGCCCATCAGCATGATCTTTAAGATGGACATGTTACAGCAAGTTCGAGCGCGAAGTTCGATTCCCCCCCCGCAAAAAAACCACTTTGAGCTGAGACGCACAAGCGATTCCTCGCTTCATGTGCCTTCCATGGCAGCACGCTTGGGAGCATTGACGAAGTCCGGCGGCCGATAAGGCGGAGTGTCCTCGTTCGTGCACTAAGGCGGCCGTGAGTCGGAAGCGGAAGGCCGATCCGGATGAGCCTCCCGAATTGCAGTGGCTCGGAATGGGGTAATGGGGGGGCGTGAGGCTATGGTGTAGGGTATGGTGTAGGGGCGTGAGTAGGGTGAGTCCGGCGAGTATAGTGGGCGGCTTTTGGGCGGTTTTCTCGATGTTTTGTGCATGGCTTTTTATATGCTTTGGACTGGCCTTTTGATTGCTGTTTGGACTGGTCTTTGAGCCACAGGGAGCCACTGTCTGAGGACGCGCACATACACGGCCCAGAGAGTTCTTGGAAAAGGATCCTTTGGGGTCGTGTATCAGGCCGGGCGGCCGCCGTTGGGTCGGCCGCGTCGGCAGCTGTCGTTCTCTTTCTTTGTTCATCTCCTGTCTGAGTCAGGCGCAGGTCCTTGAAACTGGCGAAACTGTGGTGCTGGCATGTTATTTTTTTATTTCTGGTTCTTTCTAAGGTGGGCCTTCTTTGCTGCGATCTCCCATCCTTTGTCTTACTTCATGGTCTCAAGATGTCTCAAGTCTTGCTTCTTCCATGACGTCACACGCTACGAGGTTGCCATCAAGTCGATCAAAATGCAAGAGAAGGACCGGGAGGTGGGACCGTTGCTTGGGACGTTCATTGAGTCTCTAAGTCTCTAAGTCCAAACAGAAATCCCTACGTTCTGAGTGGCACAGGTACAAATCCTCAAGGAATTGCACGGTCATCCAAACATTGTTTGCTTGCAGCGCCCTCAGATGAGAGCAGACGTTCCATCTCCTGCGTTAGGAGATGGAGATGGTTCTGGGCGAGGACCCCACAGAACCAATCAAAATTGATTGACCTCCCGGGAAGTGGTCCACTGGTGTTCGATCCACCCGAGAATACCTGGTGAAGCAGTGGGGTGAATCAGGAGACGCAGGATCTCAGAGACGCGCGACTGAGGCATGGTGCCTTTCTGAGCGACGAGGGGACTGCCGGCTCAGGTACCAGGCACCGGCTCGGCTGGAATCATCCGCTTGAAAGATGTTGATTTAGGAACAAGATGTTTGATTCTAGTAACGAAAAGCTAGTAGAAACAAGTGCATGTGATTCTGTTTGGTTTTGCCATTTGAGTCATGACCTCACCACCACTCATTCGCCTTTGTCGCATGCCGCTGCCATTTGAAGGGTGCCCTTTTGCCTTTGCTCTTTTGAAGAGCACGCGCTATCGTTCGACTGTGACGCCATAGAGGTGTCGACGACCTGACCGCCTGAGAGCACGTGAGGTGCTTCGAAAACCGTGAGCGCTCGAGAGCTTGCTTCGTGACTGTCACCACCTTTGTTTACTTCCCCTTCGGCTAGCGACCGTTTCGCCTCTTGTTGAAGCTGCCAGTATCACACCGATACTGGTAGCGGAGCCGGCAAGGCTCGCGCTGGCGTGGAGGACGAGAGGAACCATCCGGAGTTCTCCACCTGAGGTGCACGAGTTTTGAGATCCAGGGCAACGGTGGCTGGTACTTCTTTCTTTTTGGTTGCTGAAAGGGGCTTGTTTCAGTGCACGAGTCATTGAGGATTCCCTCGGCAATCTGGTTTGGGCTCGCGAGCATTTTGCTTTTGAGTTGACTCTCCCTTCATCCTGTTTTCCTTCCTCGCTTCTGAGTATTTCTTGGGCCAGGAGGCCATGACCGAGAAGGAAAAGGACACCTCTTTGAGGTGCCATTGGGATGGAGACTTTGCTACATGGCCGGACTACGTGAGGAAAGTCCGGCTGGCTTTCGAGAAGACCCGTCGTCGCAGGCGGGCGCAGCTGGGACCCGACCTAGTGTCCCAACTGTCGGGCAGGGCATGGGTTGTCACCCAAGAGATCGACTACAAGGCATTGACACAACCCAATGGAGCCCGCTACCTGATCACGTTCCTTGAGGAGCGCCTCGCCCGCGTTCCAATCCCGGATGCGGGATCTCAAGCAGAAGCACTACTTCTTCGCCTTCGACGAGTACCAGGAACTTCAATGGCGACCTGGTGTGCGCAGGTGAGAGAGCAGTATAGAAAGCTGCAGAGAGCACTTCGCCGTGCTCGAGGAGATGCGGTGGAGTTCAAGCCTGGTGGAGCTCCGTCGCAAACTTCCTCGAAACCCCGCTCCAGTCCTGAGCCTGCAGCCGAAGAAGGAACAGAAGAAGAAGAAGCGCAACGTGCTGATGAAGAAGAAGCTGAACCTCGCTCACCTGCCAGGCCATCTTCCTCCAAGGGTGGCAAGTCGAAAGGCAAAGGAGATGACCTTCGCTCTCCCTCTCGTGGATCTCGCTCTGATCCTTCCGACAGTGAAGATGAACAGGACGACAACTTTTGGGATGACCTAGACACTGGTTTGCCTGAGGTCCTGCCTAGTGAGCTGCTAGGCTGGATCATGCTCCGGAAGTCATCTTTGAATGCTGCTCAACGCCTCAACGTTCTCTCCAGCATTGGAAACTCCCTCAAAGCCGATGACATCGAGAAGGGCTTGCGAGGAGCTGAGGACGAACTTCGTCTTGTGGAAAAGGAGAGAGAAGGAAGACCAAAAGGGTCTGGTAAATCCAAGCATCGCCCTTCGTTCTGGGTGGAACACCAAGGTGAGTGGGGCTTGCTGCTCACCTCTGAGTGTGATGATGAAGACCTCCTGGAAGGTGACATCCACTGGCTGGGAGGACTACCACAAGACCAAGTCTTTCAGACCACTTCCTGGGAGACTCCTTCGGCACCCCCGCCGGCAGTTGAAGAGACGTTCATGAGTGATGATGGGTTCTGGGGAGCTGACCCCTCGAATCCTGGAGCATACCTGTGGTGGAACCTTGAGGCCGACGGCGAGTACTACCACTGTGACTCCCATGGCACGTTTTGGTCATGGTCTGAGGCTGATGTTTGGAATGATGTGCTTTGGAGCACGCCTGAAGAATCCAAGCCCATCGTGGAAGCCTTTGCAGCCTATGAGGAGAAGATGCGCTCCTTTCAAGAAAGTCGCAGGGCATCTGCGGCAAAGAATGCCTCCCGTGGCTTCTTCCCCAAGGGCAAGTTCAAAGGAAAATCTATGTTTGGCAAGAAAGGTGGCAAAGGTAAAGGCTTTGGAACTCGCTTTGCATCCTCTTCAACCTCCTCATCATCCCCTTCGGTGATGGCAGTGCAAGGCGGTGGAAAGCCTGGTTCACCAGGCTATCAGGGATGCTTCATTTGTGGAGCAAAAGACCATGACTATCGCTCTTGTCCCCGACGATCTCGTCCTGGTGGCAAGGGAGGAAAAGTGTTCATGGTGGCTGAAGAAGAAGAGCTCATGGAGACCTTCGTGTGCCATCCTCTTTCTCATCCTGAGCGGCCACTGGAGATCATGGCGGCCGATGAGATCAGCCATCCTGAGACTGAAGGCTTCGGAGTCCTGGACACCGGGGCCACTGAGACTGTCGCTGGTCTGGCGGCATTAGAATGGATCATGTACAAGAGGCACGCAGCTGGAATGGACCATGATGGTTTCCAGGTGCTCAATGTCCCGAACAAGCTGTTCAAATTTGGAAATGGTATGACTCAAAAGTCTGAGAGCGTGATCTTGCTGCCCCAGCGCCTTGGAGATAAGAAGCTGTCCCTCGGCATTTTTACTTTGGAGGCACAAGGTGTCCCCGTGCTTGTCGGGATCAGAACTCTGGCAAAGCTCGGCGCTTTGATTGACACTGGCCGAAGTGCAATGGTTCTCACGGCCATCAATGCATCGCTTTTGGCGCCTTTGCGAAAGAGCTCATCCGGCCATCTACTGATGGACCTAAGTCATGATTGGCTCAGCGAGGGCACCCAGATTCTTTTTGCAAGTGACACTGCAGCACCTTCACCCTCTGTGAAATACTCGCCCTCGCCGCTGTCGATGTTGTCGTGTTTCATGGTTCGAGAAGGTCATGTTTTCGAAGATTGTGATGTACATGCCACTTCAACCACATCCATGCCCATGTCCACGACTTCTGATGTTTCCATCTTTTTGAGTGAGTCTGAGTTGCACTTTTACCAGAGTTTGCACGGCCATGAAGCTGAAGATTTTTTGAGTCAGTGTTTTGCAGTTCGTTTTCATCCACCTCCTCCTGATTTGGCAAGAGCACCTGAAGATGCGAATCTCGCCGACTTTGAGGCTCAAGATTCGACCTCGATGTCCTGGAGGGCATTGACGCTGTTAGCCGCCACTGCTGCTGTCTTTGGAAGCCATGTCCCAAGCAGCTCCGGCCAAGGCCAAGAGCTCGGCTCAGAGCTCCACGCCAAAGGAGAAGAAGGGTCCGAAGACCAAAGAGACCTTCACCGAGAAGTACGACACTTCTCGTACGGTCCTGAGCGACCCCAGAGACCCTCGCACCCTTGGCCCGCCGTGCAACGGCCAACACGAGCCGGCACCAGCCTACAAAGGCTCGGTGACAGGGAGCAATGGACATGCCAGCTGGGTCGGATGCCAACGGTGTCAACTACGCTTGAGCTACACCCCGGCGTTCGGGGCAACAGGATTGCACCGACAAGCAGGGCCGATTCCTCAAGACACCAAGAAGCAAGTCGAGGAATTGGGAGAGAAAGCACCGTACAACCCGCTGATGAAGAGTCAAGCCATAGGCTTGGAAGGTGCCGAACGCTCCCTCCTGACCAAGCTCGACAGCATCCGAGCTCGCAAAGCCGCAGCAGGGTATGGCAACCTCACGCCGACCACCAATGCCACTTCGAGCCCTCAGAGTCCCGCCAACCAGACTCAGCCGAGTCCGACCGAGGTGGCAAGTCCGACCGACGTGGAGACCCTTGGCACGGTTCCTGGGAGCAAATCCCGGCGATCAGAAACAGCGCCCGAAGAAGCAGAGTACGAGGATCGCTCAAACCGCTCCTGGTCGGTCCTGAGTCCGGGCGGAGAAGCTCGCTCGGTGTAGATGGAGGAGAAGGTGCAGGAGAGCCCTACATGTCTGAGAACTCCGAGGGTGACTTGGCTCTTCGTGGTGGCACCTTCGCGAATTCGAATGACCAGGTTCCCAAGAATGAACGGATGTTCAAGAATGCCCAAGCTCCACCGAATGTCAAGGCCCCTCCGAACTTGTTCAAGTTTGACTATGCCTCCGGCGCTAAGGAACAGGAAGCATTTGAAGATTCACTTCCTGAGGGACGACATGATGGAGAACCTGGCGGAGAAGATCGCACTATGACTCCCTTCCCGAAGAAGGAGTTTGCGATGGTGGTGGAGAGTATGAATGAGCTGGTTGAAGAAGGCGATATGATCTTCAAGGCTCATGGAGGCATCTCATCTTTGCAGCAATGGGACGTGATGGAACTTTGCTGCGGTCCTCAAAGTCAACTTACAGAAGAAGTTTTGAAAGCTGGAGGACGTGGAGGTCGCATCGGACTTCACAACAACTGTGACCTCACCAAAGAAGAAGGCATCGAAAAGGCCCTCGAACTTCTCAAGGCTCATCGTCCTCGTTGGATTTGGGCCAGCTTTCCTTGTGGTCCAACGTCAGCTGTTCAAGCCTTGAACGAAAGGACGCCTGAAGGAAGAGAGAAAAGTGTCTTTCGGAAAAGACATGCGAGAAAGGTGCTTCGAGGTGGACTTCGTGTACTACATGAACACCTACGAATGGATGGTGAAATCGTGTGGGAATGGCCCAGGTTCAACAAAGCCTGGAAACTACCAGAAGTGCAAGAGTTCTGGCATGCACTTCAGACGGCTGGCAAGGCCTATGAGATCCTGGCTGATGGCTGCATGTTTGGTCTCTCCTCACCGGACGGGCCAGTGAAGAAACCCTGGCGCTTCATGGTGACTCGAGAACACGCCCTAAAAGGTCTTGCTCGGCAATGTGATGGAAGTCACCACCATGTGCCATGCCTTGGCGCCAATGCCAGAAACTCTGCCTACTACACCCCACAGCTGTGTCGGGTAGCCGCCCGAGGAATGCTGCAGACCTCCGAGCTCATCGGAGGCATCCAAGAAGTTGAACCTGACCCTTCTGTTTTGGAAAAGCTCACACCTCAAGAACTTCAGCATCTCATGGAATCGGTGTTGAAACTTCATCGACTGTGCGGCCACCCCAACAACAGAGCTTTGTTGAAGCTTCTCCGAGCTCGAGGAGCCTCTGAAGAGTTGAAAGCGGCTGCACTCCAACTTGCCTGCCCTGAATGCCATGAAAGCAAAACTGCCTCTCCGACCGTCAAGGTATCCTTGGAGAGAGAAGATGTGATTTGGAAGACGCTGCAAATGGATGCATTTTTCTTTCGGCGTCGAGGGCAAGCTCATCATTTTCTTTTGATGTTGGATGAAGCTAGTTCTTTTGCAGTGGTGAAAGAAGTGAAGGTTCATCCTGCTGAAGAGTCCGAGAACATCACCACTGCAGAGGTAATCACCACCCTGGAAGAAAGCTGGAGCCAGATCTTTGGCTATCCCTCTCGCTTGAGGTGCGATGCTGAAGGTGCCTTTCGTGGCACTGACTTGGCCATGTGGTGCAGCGAGAGGGGAATAGACATGATCCACGTTCCTGCTGAACATCATCAAGCCACAGGAGCTGTTGAGAAGGCCATCGGTGAGTTGAGATGGAAGATGGAAAAGTTCTTGCGCAATGAACCCATCGAGCCCAAGAGAGCTGCCTTCGCGATGACTCAAGCCCACAACCATGTGACCAGAGTTGGTGGATATGCGCCGGCACAATGGGCCTTCGGCAGGTCCGAAAATGTGACCATCAACGTCGCGGCAGCCAGCTCAGAAGGCATCCCTGGTCACGAGATGGCCGAGAACTTGAGACTTCGCATTGAGGCTGAGCACCTCCACAACAAGTTGTCTGCTGAAGCTCGGATCTCCCGAGCCAGGAACAGCCGGAGCAAACCGGCAAAGCAGTTCATCCCTGGAGACATCGTGTTCTACCAGAGATACAAGGTCCCTCGACGAGCTCCGGCCAATGAAGATGTGGATGTGCCTCGAATGCGCATTGCTCGATGGTATGGACCTGCTCGAGTTCTAGCCTGTGAAACCCGGGTTGATGACACCGGAACAGCACGCACTCCTTCAAGCGTGGTGTGGCTAGTGAGCTGCGGCCGACTTCTCAAGGCCCACTGTGATCAAGTTCGACATGGCAGTGAACGAGAGCTTCTGATAGCAAACGCCTCAGGGACAATGGCCATGCCTTGGACCTTCTCCATGATGAGCAACTCTCTCACCAAGGGCGCTTTTGAGGATCTCACCTCCTCCAAGGCCGAAAGATTCGAAGCCAAGAGAAGACAAACCTTTCGCCCATCAGCGCTTGAGAGAAAACGCCAGAAGCAACAAGAAGAAGATGAAGTACAAGATGATGCAATGAGCTCATCCTCTGAAGAGCTCCTCCCTGATGAGGTGCACATGGATCCCACTTTGAAAGAAGGAATGCACCCTGATGACTCTGATGACCTAGACATCGAACGGCTGCTTTCTGATCCGACCTACATGCCTCTACATCCCGTTGTCCCACCAGACGTGAAGGAGGCAAGAGGATCTGATGATGTTGAATTTCGGCAGCAGCGAAAACGCCATGAGCAAGATGATCGTCCTCACCATGCCAAATTCCCCAAGAAGTACAAGAATCCAGACCTGGTGGGATGGTGCTCACAGCCTGCCAATGACTTTGTCCTGGCCGTGACGATCGATGCCCCGGCCAATGAAGAAGAATGGCGAAGCATCTTGAAAGATCCCAAGAAATACACCTCCAAAGAAGTGAAGAAGGGATGTGAAGTTGCCTGGCATAAACTGAATTCAGTTCAGAGGCAAGCCATGAAAGAGGCAAAGGATTTGGAGGTGAATTCCTGGGTGGCCAATCGCGTGTGTGAACGCGCTGGAGCCGACGTGCCGAAGTCAAGACTCATGAAGATGAGATGGGTCTTGGTTTTCAAGGCTGTGGACGACCCGAACCAGCCCAACAAAGTCAAGGCGAAAGCCCGAATCGTCATTTTGGGTTTCTCTGACCCTGACCAAGAGTACCTTGACAAAGCGGCACCAACACTGTCACGACGTGGCAAGATGCTCCTGCTCAACTTGGCATGCCATCGCCGGTGGCGGACCCTCAAGGCTGACGCTCGTGCGGCCTTCCTCCAGGGCTCTGAAAGTCAACGATCTCGGAGCGTGTTTGCGCAACCAGTGCAAGAGCTGGGCGAGAAGATGCAATGTGGTCCTCAAGAAGCAGTTCGCCTACTCCGGGCAGCTTATGGGCTAGTCAATGCCCCAAGAGAGTGGTACCGGGATGTGGAGAAGATTGCAACCCAGACATGTGGTATGCAGCGCCTCACCTGTGAACCCTGCATTTGGGTACGCAAGGACAAAGATGGCGATGTCCAAGGTGCCATAGCAAGTCACGTTGACGATTTTATCGTGACTGGCAACGAAAACAGCGAGCTGTGGTATGACACCTTGACCAAGTTCCATGGCGCACTGAGCTGGAGTCCTTGGGAGTCAGATCCCTACCTGCACTGCGGCATTGAAGTACACCAGCAGGCTAACTACAGCTTCAACTTTGACCACTCCCAGTATGCAGCTCAGATCAAGCAGATCGATGTGGACAAGCACTCCTCCGAGGTGACGCCTCAAGAGCTTTCTCAAGCTCGAGCCGTGCTGGGCTCAATACAGTGGAGAGTGAGTCGACGGCACCGCAACATGCCTCACGACTGTCCCTCCTTCAGTCACAGCTTCCTTGCAGCAAGCACTCCAAGGAGATCCTCCACCAGATCAACAAACTGGTCAGGGAGGTGTGTGCCCAGAAGCACCTGTCTGTGAGAGTTCAACAGCTGGAAGCTGTGAAAGATGAAGATTTGGTGATGATCGCCTGGACTGATGCAGCAGTCGCGAACCGTCCGGACCTGGCCTCAACTGGAGGATATGTGGTGGGCTTATGCCACAAGCAGATCCTGGACGGCATCCGCTCTCCCGTCAACATGGTGGCTTGGAGAAGTGGAAAACTCCACAGGACAGCACGCAGCTCACTTGCGGCGGAACTCCAGGCCATGGGTGAAGGAGAACAAGAGTTGATGTTCTGCCGAGCACTTTGGGCAGAGCTACTTGGCCACTCCATGGACTTGACGCGACCTGAGCGCACCATTGCCAAGGTCGAAGCTGCCGTGGTCATAGATGCCAAAAGTGCCTACGACGCCTACCACCAGGGCGATGGCGCTAGCGCTGCTTTCTCGATGAAGGAGAAGTACAGCGCGCTTGAACTCCTCTCCATCCGGGAGAACATGACCAAGGCGAACGCCCGCCTGCTCTGGGTGTCGTCCGACGCCCAACTGGCTGACGGCCTGACTAAGGCCAGTGCTGCTGACCTGATGAAGACCTTCATGATGAAGGGCCAACTATGGAACGTGAAGTATGACCCGGGCTTCGTAGCGGCCAAGAAGAAGCGCCGCCTGAATCCTGAGAGTCAAGAGCCTGAGCCTGAACTCATCGAAGATGAGTCTTGGCACGCCTTCCAGCGGCGGCAAGCCACTTCGGCGAAAACCTTTCGCCCATGTGATTCTGTTTGGTTTTGCCATTTGAGTCATGACCTCACCACCACTCATTCGCCTTTGTCGCATGCCGCTGCCATTTGAAGGGTGCCCTTTTGCCTTTGCTCTTTTGAAGAGCACGCGCTATCGTTCGACTGTGACGCCATAGAGGTGTCGACGACCTGACCGCCTGAGAGCACGTGAGGTGCTTCGAAAACCGTGAGCGCTCGAGAGCTTGCTTCGTGACTGTCACCACCTTTGTTTACTTCCCCTTCGGCTAGCGACCGTTTCGCCTCTTGTTGAAGCTGCCAGTATCACACCGATAGTGCATCGCTACTAGTAACAAGTGCCTTACTACTAGGAACAAGAATCTACTAGTAACAAAGGACATCGCTACGAACGGAGCAAGAAGATACGAACGTAACAAGAAGATCAAGAAGCTAGTAGGTTGGAGGCCATCGCTACTAGTGTTTGTTTCGACCCACCCCATTTAGACTGAACACCCCACCAAACCGCAGGTTATGGTCTGTTTGGGGTACTTCTAGTTCTGGCCATGCCTAATTGGATTTATGGCGCCTTGCTTGCAGGCTGAACTTAGTCCTGGAGTTTCTCTCTGACACCCTGCATCGGGAGCTGGCCTGAGCACTGTCCGCCATCATTCAAACAACATCAAACAGCGGCAGATGGTGAGAAACTCACGGTTCGTCTTCAGCAGAAACGAAAAGCTGAAACAGGGTCCTGACTGCCGCGCTGGTGGATGTGGAAAGGAAAACAAGCGAGATGGACAAAGGGGGTACATGGTGGTCTTTCATGTGGGCTTCGCCCAATTCACGAGATTCTTTGATTATATTATATATATATAGCACAACCTTGGAATGTCGGCCTGGCAAATAGGAATGTTCACGACTGCCGTTCCTGGAGTGTTTGAGGTGATTAAACACTACAGTCAGCTGGATGGCAAGAAGATTGCTGCTGCCTTGGCTGGAAACCAACAAGCCATACTGGTATCGTTGTCCACATCTCAAAAGCGTTGTCCACTGCCGCAGTTCGGACCGATCTAAGGAGCCCTACTACATCAAGTTGTACCAATTCCAGCTCATGCGAGGCACAGTTTGTTTCAATTTCTGTCATGTCAAGTTCCGGAACACAAAGGTGATATGAATACTTAGTACGTGCTGTTTCAAACGGATAGAAACCCGAATCTTTGGGACCTTTGCAAAAGGAACCCATTGATTTGATTCAGCTTTGTCATGATGTCCTCCTTTGATGTGGATCGGATTCATCTAAACTAGAACCCTGTCAACACAGGGGCAGCTTGTGGCTGGCTGGCTGGCTGGCTGGCTGGCTGGCTGGCTGTGGTGGTGGTGGTGGTTGCGCCGTGCCATTCATTTCCTTGTCATTTAGGGGCTGAAAAGGTTGCACATGGTCATGCAAAGAGTTGTTTTGAGGGACATACGCCTCAGACGCGGAGATTGGTATTCTTCCAGCTTCCACGCCAAATATCGACATGCCGTAGGTCTTCAACATATTATCTTGGGACATGCTTTTCCACTCGGCTTGTACTTGTACCTGGGGATTACTTTTTTGCGAGCCGCGAACGAGCATCTTAGATGCAGAGGTCTCGCCTTCATCCATGGTCGGGGCATCGTGCATTGTGATCTGAAGCCGTTGGAGCCTTAGTTGGCCACATGGTTTCATGAGAGTTGAGCCTGATGAAGGAATCTACAACCGATGTCCGAAATCGAGGCTCCGGGGTGGAAAAGAGGTCGATTCCTTCGCCGGCTCGACTCCGCAGGTGAAAGGTCTCCGCTGAGGCAGAATTTGCTGCTGGATGGGAAGAGCCACACGCTGAAGATCTGCGATTTTGGCACTGCCAAGCGGATGATCTTCGGGGAACAGCACCGATCTCAGAGAGAATTGTGTGCTGTAGCTGAAGATCAACATAGATCAACCATCACTACCCTTTTGGTGAGGCGAGGCCTTCTCATGTTGAAACCTTGAAACATGAGCCTTCTTCTCATATCCAAACAAAATCAGATCTCCGGGACCACGAAATCAGATCTCATCAGCCTTCCAAGTCTGATGTGTCACTTCACCTTCGGCTTCTGCGTTCCCCACGCAGATCGGCTTCTGTTGTTCCCCCCCGCTACGCTCGGCCGTGTTCCCCAACGGGTTGCGACCCAGGCAGCGGTCCTACATGGTGTCCAGATACTACCGAGCACCAGAGCTCATCCTGGGTGCCAGGGAGCTCAGAGAAACCCCCGATCAGTACGTGGATTTTGGAAGCGGGCTTCCCCCATGATTGTTTGGGGCGGACCGGAAGTGAGACCCCATGGGTTTTGAGACACCTTCAAAACATGTAAAACCGCTTCATCATTTCGACTTTTGGGACTTTCGGGCCTTAGAGACTGGCATGTTCGGTCTGGCGCGGTCGAGAGAGACCAAACCCGAGACGCGAGACGCGGCTGAGAGAGTGATCGACAGGCCACCAGCTACACCACTGGTGTGGATTTGTGGTCTGCTGGATGTGTCGGTGCCCCACGTGGAATCGACTCATGCGATGTGCCGAAGGAATCAGACAAGAAAGGATCGACTCATCTATCGTCATTGTCATTCATGAAGAACGCAGAGAAAATGATCGAGGAGTACCATTTCTATACTTCTTCTATACCGCAGTACCATTTCCAAAAACCGTACCGGATCGGACAATACTTCTTGACTCTGCGCTTCCGTCATTCGTCGTCGTCACGCGACCTCCGACCCATGGTCCGTCCTGGACCCGAACGGCGCTCGCGCCCGAACCAGGTCTTTGCAGAGCTGATCTTGGGGCAACCCTTGTTTACGGGCAAGGAGAACGGCCGATCGATCCACTAGACTCATCCACATGAACACGATTGTGTTTTTCTCGCTTGATGTGTGGGGATTTGTTCCTTCGATTTTGTCACGAACAAAGACGAACAATGAACCATGAGAGACGATGTTTCATGAACTCACGGCAAGAAAGCCACCCTTCGTTCCAACCGGTCAGGATGGCATTGACCAGTTGGTGCAAATCATTAAAGTCCTGGGCACCCCGACGCCGCAGCAGCTCCGTGCCATGAACCCGAACTATCCCGACTACGAGTTCACGCCCTCGTGGGGACCTTGTCACGAGTGAAAACGCGCCCGTTTTCAGCAGACGTGAAGTTATATGAGTCAGGCTGTATGCGAGTGTGAGAAACGAACCCGTGGGATGTTGCTTCGGAGAAGATTGTTTTTTTGGAAAGTATATGATAATCATTACAATATATTACAATCATATCTAGTCTAGTCGAATCATTTTCATGCACATGCTTTGGATGCTTTGTTTCTTTTTCGTTTGTTTCCATTTTCTCCCTCTCTCTAATGTTGATGTGCATCCAAGACTGCCAGGATAGCCTCTCACTCATGGGAGAAAGTCCAAGACTCAGAAACAGCCACCTTTTCCGCATTTCCGCTGTGGTGCTTCGACAGAAGCTGTGGCTATTCCCAGCTTTTATGCGTGAAAGAACCACTATACAAAATGAAAAGAAGCTGCGATAGCCACTGCATCAAAAGGGGGGTCCTCCGAGCCCCAACAAGCAAAAGCCGAGTGGCAAACTCGAAGCACGTGGGTCTTTCCCATTATTGCCAGTACCGGCAAGGAATCCCAGGCCACTTGTCGGACATAGGAACCAGGCTGCGAACAAAACACCATGAAAGATATGAAAGCACTGCCCTCTTTGCTCTGCCCTCTGGAAGAGGAAAGCAGTCACACAACAGACACTTCCTCACCCTCAAGCCTTGCAAGGGAAAAGCAGAGGGCTCCAAGGAAATCAAGCATCAATGCACCACATCATGAAGCAAGACTTGCATTTTTTCACCCGCCTCCAGCCACCGGCCGAAAGCACTCCGGTCGTTCGGTTGACCGTTAGCCCGGTCGCGCCACCGGAGGTCCTGAGAGGATGGGCGCCGGCGCACGCGTGTGAACTGGTGGGAGAACCCAGACGACGCGGAGAGAAAGAATGGAAGAGGCGAAAAAGAGGAAAGGACAAGACATATCATAAAGACATTTAAACACATTTATAATGCACTTGTTTGTTGATGTTTGTCAATTTTTCCTTTTATTTTGTGTTTTATTTTCTATGGTGGTGCCTGCAAGTCATGTGGCCAGGCCAGAAAACATACCACTGAAGTCATGTCGTGAAGTCATCTTTTTCACTTTTCACGTGGGTTGATGTTCGGGACATGTGAGTCGCGTGGTGCTGATTTTTTTTACCACGCGACACTTCAGCTCCCCGCAGATTGGCCACATGCTGACGTATGACCCGGCCCGAGCCCCAGCAGTGCGCGGCACGGTCGCTTCGTCCCGCCGCGCCGCCGCGGGACGAAGCGAAGCAGCGAAGCGAACTGTGTCGGATCGTGTTGCCGGTGCAGCCACCGTTGCAGGGTGCCCGCACACCGTCCGGCTGACGCACTTGGATCCGGCAGAAGTGGGCGGTTCATTTGGGGAGACGGGCAGAAGTGGGCGGTGGACGTTGGATGCCGATCCAGCCAGGCCTCTGCACGTTTTGCTTCATCCCTTCTTCGCGGAGTTGCTTGGTTTCACTAGGAGCTGTGAGCACTGTGTAAGTGCGGAGATTGGAGAGCAAGCCAATCCTAAGGCTGCGTTCGGCAGACAAGAAAGAGAAAGAGTCTCTTTATCGCACTTAGTCATGGTGGCCCGCACACTCGACAAGGGTACAACAAGTGTAAATACTTATATATAAGAATAGGTTTCGAGATGTTTCGAGTAGTTCTCGTGGTTGTGCTTTTGGAACACTTTGTGGTATTTTCAAGTTTCCATGTGCATATAGCCTCCAGCTTTGGGGCAGCTTCAACCATTTCCGCATGAAGCCTTTGGGGTGTCACAGAAGGTTCTGCTAGGGTCATTCAGAAGACGCACAGATTCCTTTCAGCTCAGTTCCCCCGCATTCCCCGCTTGTACACGCCCTTCATTTGGAGTCCCATGGACACCCCAAATGATGGGATCGGTTTCTCACTGGCGACCGGTTGAAAGCTCCGGATTCTGAACTTGAAATGACCCGCATTTCCACGACCTTCTCCGCACCTCGATGGAATCTGAACCGGCGATCGTTCAGAGCTACTGACCACGACGGTCACTTAAGTGAAAGGCGCCACTGGCTGGCGAGTCAGAACCCGGAGGCCCAGAAACTCACCCTCCTGGGTTCACCTCCTCGGTATGTTGCTTCTGTTCATTTGACCACCGGTCAACCGGTCGGTCCCTCGGTTTGGGACCCGGCAAGAAATAAAGACCATGGTCCCCAAGCTGGTTGAAACCCGAACGAGGCAATGCAAGAACCTCTTCAACTTCCGCGAGGACATGTCGCAGTCGCACCCCTCACGGCGATGTCCGGAAGTCGCAGCCTGCGGTTCATCGATGGTTTTCTGCCCCTCTTTGGTGCCCAAAAGAATCACCCTCCACATCATCATCTCTCTTCTGGGTTCTTGAATGCGCCAGCCTCTTCTTGCGACCGGTCCCGGCGTAGTAAATACTTCACCGCTGAGCTCGGCGTTTCGGCCGGCCTCCGCGTTGCCGGCCTCAGCCGTGAGGATGAATTGTGGTGGTTAACTCCCAAGGAGCGGATTCAATTGATCCCCAGCCGCTTGGACAGCGGAGGAGGCGCGTCACCTCCCGCCCTGACGGGTTTGGTCAGCTGCGCGTCTTCCGCGCCGCTGGTCCGTTCGGTTCCGGGCCCCGCTGAAGGTTCGGTTCGCGAGTCGTGCGAGCTGCAGAAGTGAGTCTCTGAGGCTGGGCTGTTGAGAAGCAATGAGAGACTCGGGACCTGTGGGACCTGCGCAGTTGAGGCAAAAAGGTCCCTTTTCTAGCTGGGCGGAGTGATGCTGGTATCCTTTATATGAAACACATAAATACCTAGGAGATCTTGGGAGTCGAACACTACTTTTTTTTGAATTGTCTATATATAGTAGGTGACTCCAAAATCCACTTCCTTTACTTCAATGTAGCAAAATGTAGTCTTTATAACACACACACATATATATATATATATATAAATATGGTATATTTTTCTACTGACTAGCCGACATCAGACCCAATTAATCTGACTTGATCACATTTTTGGCTCCAAACCTGGCAGCTCTTGTGTCCATGACAAGTTTCCAAGGCAGGGCAGTTGACTTTGTTCGTTCATTCCATCTTGCACCAAAACATTCAAGGTGTCACAGATGGATCATCCTATACTACTCATGGATCTTGCTTCGACCCCCCTTGGACTCGTTCCGCTCAATTCTCCAGGTGGATAGCGGAAGCGCTGCTGCGCCAGACGCCAGCGTCAGAGGACTCCCTCAGACGCGCTCGCAGTGGGTGCAGCTACTGCTGCGCTTTTTATTTTTTTCGTCGGAGGAGAAGCGCCCGACGATGCTTCGTTTGTGGCGTTTGGCTGCCAGGATGGCACCACCGAAAAAGGCACCTGACGCCAGCACTGCAATGGCCTCAGACAGACGTGCTGAAGCTGGATTGTTTGGACATGGATGATCATGGATGTGGGTATCCCTGCTTTGCTGGATTTCCTTCCTTTCTAAGGTGATACGATTTTTAAAGGGCATCATGGCCCTGATTCTTCTTCCCCAACCACACAACCTCCCTGGCCACGCAGGTGGACTTGCACGTCACCTATGTGCCGCTGAGCGCTCCGATGAACTTCACGGCTCCCAGGACCCGATTTCGGGGTCCGTTGAAAGGGTCCGCTGTTTGGGGATGGAGTTCATTCTCAGAGGGGATTCTTCCACAGGGTCCTGGGGATTCTCAACAGTCTCAACACTTGGGGGATTCTTCGACAGGGTTTCAAGTTGGAAGATGCCCCACGAGAGGATCGTCGAGGAGTTTCCTCGCGGCGAACGGAAGGACGGGGACGAACCGGTGTTCGCCATGACTGGCAGGACCGTGTGCTATGCGGCAGCCAACAGCGCCAGGGTTCCCGGAAACGGCCGTGTTACAAAATATCGGACATGTGGGTGAAAGAACGGGAGACCTTCGGAACCGCTCAAGAAATGGCTTTGGTCGACCTCTTTCCCTCCGCCGGACATTCTTTGGTTCTTCCATGACCAAAGGGGTCTTCAAGAGGAAGGGAGCTTCTGTGGCCTGCGAAGAAACAGACACAGTTATGTTGACTGTTTGATGAGCTTAAACAATACATATCGGAATGTTTGACCATGCATGTTAGGAGGTTTGATCCGTCAACATGGTTCATCCGCACTGAGGTGCACTTCTGGGACATGGAGTCCAACTCCACGTGGGAACCTCTCTCTTGATGCGGAACAGATTGTTTTTTCAGAGAGACTAGTAGCGATGCCCTTGTTCCTAGTAGCTTCTTGTTCCTAGCAGGAGCCCCGTTCGTAGCGTCCGAACGCTCCTATGTGCCGCATCCTCGAGGTCATCATTCCCAACTCCTACCTATGGCATTACCAAAATGTGTGCAAATGCCGAGAAGGGCTTGGCCTTTCTGGCAAGTTTGCATCTCGCTGTTTCAGGGAGCCAAGTAACAGGTGAAACGGATTTGCTGGTGGATGTTCGACCGTCGACCTCACTGAATCACTGAACATGTGCCGGGGAGTGCAGGGGCCGGACGGCCGGGCCGGACATTCAAACGCTTCAAGGATGAAGCCGCGGAGTTTTCTGCCAGGTGGCATTCTGTGAAGGAGGTGCTCATCCGCAGGTCTATGTGTATAGTTGCTCACCTTACAAGCTCCTGCCAGGGCCATAGTCTTTTTTCCATCGCTGTTCGTCTTTTCTGAGGCGTCTGAAGCGAGCGGGGGGTAGCGCGACGCGCGACGTGCGCGACCTGAGCGTCCCGAGCCGAGGTTCACCTTGTCAGACTTGGCAGAGCTTGAACTGGCAGATATGGCCTTCAGCCACTGTGGTTCTCGCCTCTATGCACTATCAAGGCCGGGAAAACACAACCGCTGGAACCAGCTGAAGAAGGAAATGCAGCTGAGTTGCTGGTTCGTGGCTCAAACCAGTTGAACCCGTTACTGGCATTCAGGGCGACATCGAAAAGACTCACAATCTTTTCGATGAAAACTGGGCGCTTGCTGCCTGGTTCGAACCTCAAAGCATCATGAAACTTCACAGCCACAAAACGCAGCCGAGGAACTCAAAAGTCATCACATATTTTGCTGTGGGCATGCTTGCGAGTCTCAAAAAGCAGCAAAAAGCACCAAACATGTTTGTTGGCATGTTCATCATTTACCACCTTCTACGAGCAAAAGGGCTGGGTCTCTTGTGGTCTCTTAGCACGTGTTGCGTGTTACTGTACTTGCGACTTGTGACCTACCGCAGTAGACGCCCAAAGCCAAGCGAACGCCTGAGGTTGCGAGTTGCAGCTGCCCTTGCGCTTTGACAAGGTCTCAGTCTACCCTGGCCACAAGGTGGGACAGGTTCCCACCAGGTGAGACGAAGACAAGCGAAAGCGTTTTGGCTTCAAAAGGGTTTAACGATGTTCATGCCGGACATGGACACCCATTGCATTGGGGTGGAGGTGAAAAGAGGTGAAAAGAGGTGAAAAGCATTAATCCATTGATGAAAGGCTTTCTGAAAGGCTTCTCATGTCTTGCGACTCTTTGAACGAAAGAACATGTGGATGTTGCCTAGAACTGGTACCCCTCCCTGCCACTCCACCCGTTGACGAATAGATTTGCAGGATCACTTGGCGGTGGTGAGAAGCTCTACTGTGCGGATGATCTCCATCACCAAGTCCTTTGAAACTTATATTTCAAAGCTTCAGATCGGATCTTAGTGCTTCAGACCGCGCGGCTTCAGTCCTCGAAGCGAGCTTTTGGAACATCTTGGGGAGAAGTTGAGAGGTTTGACTTTAGAGTGTCCAACCGTGTCATGTGAGGACCAGGATTGGACGAAATCTATGGTTGTGGACCTCTCCTCTAGCCATCCTATGGGTTTGTCATGGTTTGTCCCTTTTCCTTCGCCAGAGATTTTCTCCATCAGGTCTGTGACTAACTTGGTTGACCCGCCTGGAAGGTCGAGCTAGATGGTGTTGGGGCTCCAGGTTGTGACCCATCTCCATATACGCTCCACTTTCAACTCCCAAAAACTGCCATGTCGAAGTGTCGGTCGGTCGAAAACGGTCGACTGGGTCTTTCTTGTGCCGTGGTGAGCTGAAAACAAGAAGAACACGTGTCGTGTGACGATCCAAAATTGCTCGTTATGGCCTGCTCATCAGAACCCTGTGCGTAGGTCAAGCTGTGAGTTGTGTAAGCTTGCGAAAGCTCATGGTGACATTGCAGTGTGCGTAAGCAGTGCTATGTTTTTTTTAATGTTTAAACTGACACTTGTTGAAAACACCACACGCTTTTGACAGACAAACACACGTTTAGTTTACTACACAATGTGTGGATGAGACGTGAGAGGCTTTGCAGCAACTTGCACAACTTTTGTCGTTGATGTTTTGTTTGACTTAGTAAGATTAAGATGTCTGTTTGGGGCAACATTGCACAAAACATGGAAGCTCTAAGCTTCTCGTTCTTGCCGACAATTTCACTCGTGCATCCCTAGTCCGTGATGCCGCCCAGAGAGAAGCCATTTGGTGATCTGGCAAGGAAACAACGTTCAACAACTCAACGAGTGAAGCTATTCAATGTATCCAGGGCATCCGCATCAGCGTTGCAAGACAACCCTCCTTCCTCTGAGATTCCTTGCAGAAAAAGTTGGTGTGTAAGCTGCGATGTGATGGGTCAAGAGTCAATTCGCATTTGGCATCACGAAAGACTTACAGAACAGGATAGCGGACAGCTGAGAAATTTTGCAAATAGTTAACACACATATATATAGTTATATATATATACACATGATACATACTTAGACCAAGTGTGTGCGCATGTATGTACTCTATATATACACATGCATACACCAACGTTTTGGCAAACCATCACGGCCTGTGCTGATGGTCGTCCCCCACCGAGGCCCGCGTCCATTCCCAGCGACGTGGACCTCGCCGTGTCGGCGTACTGCTGGACGGCCTCGGGGCGGAGCACTCAGCCGGTGGCGTCAGCGGTTCTGACTGAGCTGATCAGATTCTGAGCGAGGTTTAGTCTGCGATTCTGAACTCAGAGTTCGAAGAAGAGTTGGAGTTTTTAGATAAAGCATCTTGTGATTAGAAAGGCATAGAAGTTTGAACATTGCAGGCAATAGATTCATCATGAGTCTTTTGGAACATGCTGTCGACCTTTCAGTTCTGTCCACAAAAGATGACAACCTTCTAACAACTTCTACAGAGGTTTCAGAGTAGATGGCACAGACCCCGAAATGCTTTTTGGATGGGGGCCCTTAGAAACATCCAAACTTGGGAATTGTGCCATCTAGACTCTGACTTGCTCGAGCTGCTCCTGAGGCACTTCCTGGTCGCCACTCGACAGGGCATGTTGTGGCCCTGGTCGCAAGGGTTTTGTCTAAATGGCTGGTTTGGTCGATGTTTTTGTTCGTTTTCCCGTTGCTTTCCAGATGGAGCCTTGGATCTCAAGGCTTTGCACCATGGATGGAGCTACTGGAGCCTTGGTGCCACTTGATCCGCAAGCAGGGGCGAGGCAGACGAGGCAGGGGAGGCAGGCGCCAGGGCAACATCCAGCTGAGCTTGGTATATAGATGAGTTGAGGACAGCCACCTCCAAGAAGCAGTTCTTTGAATTTGGACGACCATCAGCCGGACTTGTAGCTGTGAACTCTCTTTCTGCAAGGAACCTGAAGATGTTCAGAAATTACCTACAAAGACTTGGAAACTTTGCCGGAAGACTCTCCATTGGTTTGGGACCCCTTGTTTTTTGAGACACACACACATGATATCATATGATTATATGTGTGATGATTCGATATGATTCATGATCAAATCGGAGGCTAGTCTTCTTAAATTGGACTGGATTCATTTGATAGCTACTTGCTTGCTTCACTCAGGTACATTTGCCAGGCAGAACAGCCCATCACTAGCATCATACTGTGCTCGGCTCGGCCGTGTTTGACTTCAGTGGTGTCAGTGGAGATTGCATATCACTTGCATCGCCTGCTGATGCACCAAGGACACAAGAATACCTTGTCACATCCCACATTGGCAACACTCTCAATTTTTGGGAGCTGCAGCCACAGGCGGCGAACACACAGAACAAAGACAGTGAGACTCATTGCCAAGAGAAACGAAGAGTCATGGCCAGGTGCTGTACCTCTCCCCAAAATGGAAGTGCACACGCCGACGGTACAGAACAGCCTCCCAATTCCAGCGCAGTTTCCCACACGCCGACCTTGGTCCCATTCCCACAGTTCTGGTCAGTGCGAGCCGACAAAAAACTAGAACAAGGATCATGTAGCGTCAGAAGGAACACAACACCTTTTCCAGGTAATTCGATGTTTTATTCCTGGATCCTTCCTAGACCTCCATGGCCAGGCGCTGGCGCGCTCGAGCCCGGAGGAAGTGCAGAGCTTCGCCGCTGGCCTGGCCCTAGCGTCCGCCTGCCCACGTTGGTGGTCCCGAGCAGCGCATCACCGTCCGCTCTTCCGCATCGGACGAAGAACATTGGACGAAGACAGTAGCATCTCCGATCTTCCTGGACTGGTGTAGTAGCTGAATCCCTGATCTTCCTCCCAGAGCCCAGATGGGCATGGCAGGCCGCAGATGGCATTGTCCACTGGGATGTTTCAGCTGAAGAAGGCCAGCTTGACCGCATGAGATGGGGCCAATGGAATCATTGATCGGCTTTATCTTTGGTTGAGGTCAATAGATGCGTAGCTTCATGGTGTCCAACACATTTCACTTAGAGGCTAGATACCGCACTTTGTTTTGCACTCATACACATACATGTTCAAGAAAGAATGCGTGTCTCTTTTTTTTTCCCCAAATGCGTTCAGAATGCGTCGAATGCTTCTATCAAACGTTCTGGAGGCTTTAGCATGTTCTTTCCTCTTCGTTGTCGACTTCTTCACCACAGGTGTTTCGACCACGCCATGTGTTCCGCTCTTTGAAGAGGTGGCCGACCTGGAGAGCGTGGGCACTCAACGCCTGGCACATCGACTTCTGGGCCAGGCGGTTCACCGGGCGCTTCACTGGGCCGGTTCCGCTGCGGCGGGTTCGCACGGAGGAGCGAGCGCCCACTGGTTTGAGAGAAGGGGTTTCGAGGTTTCTCCACCCTGTTTGGAGAAACACCAAAGCTGCCTCATCGCCGGATTTTTGGTCGTGATCCAGAGGACACGACGTGACCTGCATCTGTCGAGGTGTCCTGTTGTCCCATGCGTGGTCAAATCCACCTTGGCTGCCCGTGAGTCAGGTGGCTTCCTTACAAACGACTCCAGACTCCAAAGAAGCGGTCCTGCCCTCAGCTACTGAGCCATTGGAAGGAGTTGACTCTTGATTTTCACGTGCAGTTGTTAGAGGTGCTGACCACTGCAGAGGGAGAAGTTTGGACCATCAAGCTGCCTTCCAAAAAGTCCGCCCTGCATGAATTTGACAGTGTGATGCAAATTGGAACCGAATGTGGATGGCAGGAGAGAAGACGCGGATTCAGAAGCTGATTTTGAAGAGGATGCTATCATCTTTGCATGTGAATGCAAGAGAAGCTTCGCACATGTTCACATTTTGACACATGGTTTCTTTTTTTTGCTGTGTTGAGAGCACAGAGCAGCATCAAATTGCATTCTTATTGCAGGATGACATGTACGTACGAGCCGACCAGTTGTATCCCTGACTTGCTTCGTAGCATGGACGTGATGGCCACTGGGCTTTTTCGAGGAAACGCGTGGTCTCCTTCAGGTCCCTTGTTCTATCTTGTTCAATCATCTAACATGAACACCGGATACTACAGGAACTCTACGGATCCCTGGGGTGTTTTTCTGACTCTGTCACTCGGAGGGGAGGGGTGTAGCAAATGATGACCATCTCCAGTCTTCGGTTCGTCTCATGCGCGTCGCAGCGGGTCTTGGGGGAGCCAGGCAGATGGAGCTGCTGTGTTGGTTTCATCCACACACGATCACGAGCATTTGCCCCATTGGCACCGGGCTGCAGGCACCATCCGCTGCTTCGTGATATCCGTTGCGAACAGAGCCAATCCGAGCCAATCCGAGCCAAAACCCGCTTTTTTGCGATGCATTCTGCATGGATCGATGCTGAAGTGAATGGCCTGCCATGATCTTTGGCAGGTTTGCGCCAGTGCCGATGAAGGTGGCAGACTACGACTGTGGCAGGTGGGATTCCGACATGGCTCTCGGAGCACTCAGAGTTTGTCCAAGACTGCGCAGACCAAAGTGCAGTCTTCAAGAAGGAACAACAATGTCAATAAGAAGAACGTGTTTGCCAACTGGACATTATTACCATATTATTATTACTTTTTGTTGGATGGAATGGGCTATTTGCTTTCCCCATGTCCTTTTCAATTGGGAACCCCATGTCCTTTTCAATTGGGAACCCGAGGGCCGGAGGGCCTCCTCTGACCATTCGGATGCCACTTCATCCCGAGGTCGTTCCACCTACTGGTCGCCGAACTCGTCAGGTGATTCGTGGTGAAGATCCCAAGGGCTTCAAGCTCCTACGCTTCACCTCGGCCGTCACCAGTCTCACCGCCGAAGCACGCGGCAAGTTCCTCTTGGCAGGCGCACCAAAAACGCCGCGGGAATGAACACCATTGGTATGAGGGGCAAGCCCCTTCCATGCAAAAGAAAGCGTGCATACGCTCCCATTTGTGGTTGCGCAAGCAACGCGTAAGCTGTGGTGCAAGAAAAGTCTTACAACATAGGAGGTAGAGCCTGGTAGAAGGTAAAGTACGCCAAAAGCAGCCTACACTTCGACCACATTCTGGGATGGTGCATTCACGCAACCCTTTGAGAACCGACATTCCGATGAAACTTGAAATCTCAAGTTGCTGGGTGATGTTGTGTGTCCTGTCATTTTGAGACATGGCTGTTGTTTATGCTCGTTTCAGGCACCGATTCGGGCTGCATTCACGCTGTCGCGGTGGATCCATGGCCAGAAGCACAGGCGGCATGCTGGTTGCTTCGTTTGATTTGTATGTAGTGACATGTCTGGAGCCTAGAGTACTTTGCAAAGCTCACAAGAACAACATCTAGAATCTAGAGTGTGGAACCTGCGTGGGTGTAGGCTTTCTGCATAAGTCATAAAAAGTGCCTCAAGTGCCAACATGTGTTACCCTTTCCCCTTTAAGAACAAAGAGACGTCCTCTACCCGTTCAGTGGGTGGCCCACTTCCACAAACGCCCATGTGAGGTCCGGACCGACGTGTGGGTGTCGGCAGGTCATTGACAGCAACCGGATCAGTGAAGTGGGCATTGCCAAGCTCTGCAGTACCAGTTCGGAGGACGGGAGACCTGGCGGCGTGCGTGCGCGCGGCAGTGCGGTGCAGGGAGGACTGGCCTAAGGTGGCATCGATGGTTCAGATGGTGAAGAGATGGCCCACATCGTGCATGATGTTTCTGAGAATTGGGGAGTAAGATGGTGTCAGAGAGTTGGCTGGTTCAAAGGTCCTTTGGGGGGCGACCAGTGACCAGGCGTGTCGTAAGAGTCTGAGTATTCGAAAACCATAGAACACCCAGAAGCAAGTACTGTACTGTCTTCATTTGGGATGGACAGACTTCAACTGAGAAACAGAATGCCCAAGGAAGGTCTGCCGCGTGCAGGACGGTCTGTCGCTGAAGGTTGCAGCCCTCCTCTTTGATGGGAGGCACGTGGGGCCGGTGGGGACGCGTGGGAAGCAGCAGTTGACGACATCGGTCGGTCTCCAGCCCTTGCGCAGGATAGCGATGGTGTCTTTCTCCCTGCGCGAACCGAAAGCTGGAAGCTCAGCAACTTGACCCTCCGAAACATGGTGAGGAAGCGGGTCACCAAAGGCTTTTTTCTTTTTCTTTGAGAGGTGGAATGCTGCATGTCTTTTCAATTCTTTTCATTGCTGTTCATTGCGTACAAAACGAATTGGTTTTGCCACTGAAGAAGACACATCGCACAGTTTTTGAAGTCCAGACAGGATCAGCTTTTGGCTCTCAGGTGAAAATGCTTGGGCTGGTGGAACACCTGGGCTCTGTGGAAGACATCTATTTCCACGAGCAGGTGGGCCGGATTTGTGTTTCGGTCCATGTGGGTGATGTGAATGGAATGTGTAATAAACTAGGGAACACCCTCACTCACTGATAGGGTTTTGGCTATTTTCCGGCACTTCCACCTTCCAGCAATTTCTTTCGGGGCTCTTCTTGTGCCAAGACACACTCACACACCTGTGGGCATCCCGATCAGGAGAAGGCTGAAGAGCTCAATATGCCGCCAAAGCTGTTGGCTGTCGGATGCACAAAGGACGAAGCTTGGCAGAAGATGAGACACCCTGTTGGACCCCTGGAACTCACACCCTGTTGGACCCCTGGAACTGACTGGTGAGAACATGAGACAAACCCTGGCCTGCCTATTTACCCTCTACGAGGAATGAGCTGAACAGAATCCAATCGAAGAGCTGGGAACTGGGAACGCCGGAACACGCTCTCCAGTCATACTAGGCATCTTGCATGTGGTCAGTGCGAACGTGATGCCGGCCTGATTACTGATTTGAAAAGATCTGGGAGTTCCCAGAGTCGGTGGAAGCATGTACATCTGAAATCATTCCAACTAACCTAATGAGCCCTGGGCCTCGAACCTAGTAGCAAGGGCCTTTACTAGGCCTCCACCCTAGGAACGCGCGGGGGCCTCGAGCCAAGCATGTTTTGGAATCGGATGGATGTGGACCTGTGTTGGACACCAGGCCCAAGGACAGCTTCGAACCCCGTGACATGGTGATCCATCGAGAGGCCGAAGAGAGGGAAACCGAGAAGGATTGGGATCCATTTGGGGGATGCTCCGAGCTCTCCCAAACAGAACTGACGAGAGTCATCCGCATGTTGATCAAGCCGGGTGCCGGTCACGTGACCGGGTGATTTGTCTTGAAACAGACCGGAAAGCAGGACCCTGGCAACCTTCCTAACCCGCGGAAGACCTGCATGTAGCCACTTTCCCAAGGTGTGTTCTCTTTGGAAGGATCACTCTTATTGAACACCACTGGTAACAAAGGGCATCGCTACGAACGGAGCAAGAAGCTACGAATGTAGCTCCTGGCATCACTACTAGTAACAAGAAGCTACGAACGTAGCTATTTGCTCACAAGTGTCCGTCTCAATTCACCCGCTTGGATGCAAGGCAGTACGACCCACTGGGTTCAGTTCTTTTTTTTGATGGCTTGCTTCCAGATTTCGGATGTGTTGTCTCTGGACTTAAAGGAGCAAGAGCAGAACAGACATGATCCATGTACAGTTGACCGTTAATCATCGGTACTGTTTGTTGCTTAAGAACAGTTGAACATACTTTTTTCGCAGCCACATAGTGGAGATGCTTGATCAATCTATATGGCTCTGAGTCTTCCTACCGGGACCCCTTAATCCCTGGTAGGTTGACCTCCACAGAAGTCTGATTCTGTTCTATCCATCGGTGGTCAACGAGAAATATGTGGGTTCTAGTGCCCAACGAACTGATTCAGGGGGACATTAGCCACCAATAATACTTCTAATTTGGGCCATGTTCCGAGGCTTTGTGGGCTCGGATGAACTAGGAGGCCTTTTTCAGGGGATTTATTCATCCGACATGATCAATCTCTAAACCTGCATTCAGCCCTATGAAGGCACTTGATTGAAAGGATGGGACTCTGAGAAGAATCTAAGGTGGGGGTGACTCTGATTGTTTGTTGGTCCCGTGTCCGTCAGGCCATGGGCTTTTGGTCCTCGAAGCTGAACTCTGACACGGTGGAGGGACGGCCCACCGCCGTGTGCTCCATCTCCAAGTGCGCCGGCGCATGGTTCGTTTGTCGATTTTTGTGGCGGTCTTTCCGGTACCTTACTTAGTCTGAAGATGCTTGAAGCCAGGATGCATTTGGATAGCATGATAGAATATAATAGATATTCAAGAGAAGCCTAGAGTCTAGACATGTGGAAATAATCAACAACCACCCCAAAAATTAAAGAGTCTCCTTACAGGACATTGTGCGGTTCACGACACGTAGGGCCTTTGAGCCACACACGGGACGCTCGCTTTCTTTTGCTCCAGAAGACAACCTATGGGAGGTCGGAAGCCGCTGTGGGATTTGCAAGTGGCGCGGCATGGTCCTTAGTGCCTTAATACCTATGCATGCCATATGGAAGTTGATGGGATTTGAGATTTGTTGCTTCAACATCTCAGTACTGACAGATGAAGCTGGTGAGGTGACGATCTATGCAACGCGAGGAACCTAATCTTTCATGCGCTTAAACGGCGCTCGCTACTGTCCAAGATCGCTGTTTGACATTGAGTTTGTGTTTGGACATCGAATCTCTGATCAAATTTAAGAGCAACAGAGTAAAGCAGGACACTCAGCAATGGGACATCCAAACCACCAAGAAACCCGAGGGAATGAGTTCGGACATCCAGACAGCTTCTGTCAGTCAACAGCTTCCAAGAGGAAACACCTCTAACATCCCCTAACTCGCTGGGGGGGTATATCGTCTCCGACCAAGACGAACTCGAAAAATATACCATCTCTCTCACGTTGAGGCCCACGCATGTGGGGCTCATGGTGAAGTCAGCTGCCACGCCAGTGAAGAGTCGCTTGGCGGTGTCGGATCCTTCGTTAGCTTCGCTCGCGAAAGCATTGCAAGAGATCATGACTTATGGTCCCAGTAGGAGGTGTGGGAGCCTCTAAGCCATCACTTGGTCCGCAGCGGTGTCGGAGTTGGTCCCAGGGGGGCTCTGCAGTGTGGCCGGGGGAAGAGTCACCACAGGTTTCATCAAACCGTGCTTTGGCCCATTCGGTTGGAGTCGCGACGAACCGTCGGCGGCCGTGATGAAAAGGCGTGACGTGCTGCGTAGGCTTAGCACGCTTAGCATCGTGACGCTTAGGCGCTCAACACAGTCACCCCATCATTGGTTGGGTGACCAATTGGGCCAACGCCTCCCAGTCAATACTGTAACACTTGTCGCTTCTGACCTTTTGAGTCTGTCAAAGGATATACATATATATATATATATACTGCCGGACCTCATGAGCCCCTTCAGCACTAAGGCCTTGTTCCACCGGGAGCACATCATCTCATCAGCAGCCTGCAGCAACTTCCCTAGCAGCCCAAACTCCGTCTTACGAAACCTTCGTCAAACACCAACTCGGTTCCAAGTCTTCTTGCAAGTCGGATCCTTTGGACGGACCCAAACGCCACCGTTTCAGACCCAAACGCCACCGGAGAGATGCGTCCGTGGCATGGATCGATCGTGCGCCGCATTTCTCGTGTTTGTCCAGCAGCACGCAGCAGGACAAACTTGAGTTCTACGATTCTGATGGTGGGCTGCATGGCACTCTTCTCAGTTGTTTCCTTTTTTCCTCGCTTTTTTGCTGCTCATTGGCTTGAACTATGAGTCGAAACATGTTGAAACTATTGACCCTGCTGGCGTGTGGCACTGAGCTTGTTTGACCAGGGACAACAGAAGGATCATCAGTGTTTGGTTGGTCTTTTGTTTGGGGCGGATTTTCTTTTGAAACTTGCTCATATTATACACTGTATGTGTATATATATATATATAAGACTTGGAGACTTTGCTCCCGAAGTCGCTGTACTCGTAGAAGAGAGAAGAGTCGGACGGAGCGTCATCAGGATGGCTCGGTGCTGAAGCTTGGTCTGAGCCTCAAGCTTTTACACTCGATTTTTGACCAAGTGACCCTCCAAAACAGGATTTGCTCACTTTCTGTGGCGAGTGGAGATGCTAGAAGCTTCAAACACTTTTTCAGCCAAACACCATCAAGCACCTCATGATCTTCATAATGTCTTCTTCAGATGAGTCTTGACTTCCAGGCATTCCTGCGGTCGCAAGCTCAGATGATAGGGTTTGCAGAACACGCTTTTCTTTGCAACGTGGACACTTAGACTTGGGGCGAGACTGTTTGACAGTCAAGCGGGGACATCCCCAAAATACTCCCCGACTCCAGGGGTTTCACCCGAGAAGACTCCCGAATCCATGGCGGCATCGTCGCCGCCTCTCGTGGGGCGAAACCACCTGTTTCCACCACTGCGGAGCGCCAGGGCGACGAGTTGCTGTGCAAGACCCTCCACAGCCCCTACAATGGTGGGACCGCCCAGGCTGCGTCCCGCTTTGCATGAGTGGCGTATGTTCCATGGACCTTGGTTCTTTGAGGTTCTTTTGGCAAAAACAGACATACTTTTGGTATCTTTTGGTAAGACCTGTTGAAAAAAGTCATGATTGATCAGATGTGTAATTATGAACTAGAAGCACTGTGACTATGACTTCAAACCACCACTTGTGGCAGGTGGTTTGTAGTCGAGACAGCCTTGCTCTCAGCCACATCACTGCAGAATGTATGCTTTGCACGTTTGGCACCTGGGGTCACTCGTTTTCAGGCACTGTGGCCATCAGCACCGGAGGTGCAGATGGACTCCTGGTTTGGAGCGAACCGGGATCCGAGATCAGCGTGCCTGCGGCCCGACTCCCAGTGAACTCAGTCGAGGCGCTTTCGAGAGGCGTTCGACCGCCGGCGACGTTCGACAGGACGACAGCCACCTCAAAGCGGAAGAGGCCTCAGAAGATCTTCATTGGTCTATAGTGATCCCGGATGCCCAAATAAGTAGAAACGGTTTCCAATGCATGTTGAGTTGGGAGACACACTTTTCTACCTATTTGGGGGGTTCTTTTGGGCCTGATGCCCAACTGCCATCGATCGATTGTAGCCCCACCCCGCCGTGGCCGCGGCAGGATGAGACCTTTGGGGATGAGACCTCTGCACATTTCGCCTTCGAGTGGAGCTGCCACCGCTTTCGCATCGATCAGCCGTCGGAGGGGCGAGTGGGGCGTCGACGGAGAGCGAGAAGGAGGGGATGCTGGAGTGCGAACAATCAGCGTGCCTGGTGCGCACATGTCGGGGTCTGAAAGCAGGCGGCATCATTCCGGAAGAATGCTCGCCTACCTAGCAAGACTACTTTTGCTAGCATCCCTTTCGGTCACGCAAACAAGTGCAATCAGAGAATGCAGTGTTCACCCAGCACTTCCGAACGCTACTACCAGCAAACTCCTAAATACATGGGACCAGCCAAGGCTTGCCCGTGCTCTGTCCATTCCTGTTCACCGGTGTCTTCCCTGAAACCAGGATCCTCGACCAGGAATCACGTGTATGGTGCACTTGACGGCCGCACATTCCAAGGGGGCCAGTCTCTTTGACTCATCGCCACACTAGGCGTTGACATGTTGACACGTTTGGTTCATAGGGATCTCTGCACAGAACTCATCAACGTTTGATGGGGCGATCACGTGTTGGCACCTTCGGGTGATTCCACCTGCGCCAGAGCCATCGCTGACAGGGTGAGAGTATACTTCCAGGAATTTTCAGGATCACTCGATCCTACGGGACCTTGTTGCTCTCCTATGTCCTATGTTTTATCTCAGTGATTTAATATAGAAGCGATGGCCTTCAAACGAATAGCATCCAATAGCGATGGCCTCCAACTTAATAGCGACGGCCTCCAACCTAGAAGCGATTGGCCCCCAAATTTTATTTTGTAGAGCTTACACACACACACACACACTTGAGCATACACACCGACGAAAAGGATCAAGCATTTTTTGCCAACCTGGCCAGGTTGGATGACACCGACGTGAACGCATTTCCGGTGTGGGTGCCACCTGCTGTTGCAGGTGCCTTGCGTTGTTTTCCGTTGCACCGGTGTAACAACGCTATCACAGCCTCAGGAGGAAAGCACATGTCGTCGAACTGTTTCAGTTATAGTATATACTTGTATATACATATAAGTGTAATTGTTTTGTAATTACAATGCAGGATTGGTTGATTCCGATTCTGACATCTGGTTGTGTGTGCAGTTCCTGACCTCGAAGATTGGAAGCTAGTGTAGCTGTCAGCGAGGTGCAGATGCAACAAAAGGTGATGACGAGGAGCAGAAACCTTCGAACAGACTCCAGCACCATTCTGAAAGGTTTGGTCTTTCAGGGAGTGGACGTAGACTCAGTAGACACTAGAAGACCATGATTCTTTACGATTCTTGTGTTGATTTAATTGGACTTCTGTACGATTCTTCTGATTCCTGTGACCTGAACAGGAGGTGGAGCTTTCTGTCAAAGACTCAGCTGTTCAGCCAACGACGACGCGTTCTGGCACGTTCTCCCAACGGTGAGACATCGCTGCAGTCAGGAAGAAGCCGCTGCGAAGCGCAAGCTGATGTCGCACGAGGCGAAGCGCTTCTGTGCCGATGCCAAGTGGATTGGTTGGTTCGATTGGATTGGTGGGTGCGGTCCGATGTCCTCAAGGTTAGATACTTCTTGCGATTTTGACTCGGTCCCGTGCGGCAAAAATCGACATGCGGCGTGCAATGGTGCAGATCGAAGCGTTGCGGAAGAAGCTCCGAATCCTCATTGATCACAACAGCAATGCACCAGATCTGGAAAAGTGAGTTCCTCAGTCTTCCTCAGTTCCTACAATTAGCTCGGTGTGCTCTTCAGTTGGGGCAATCGCAAGATTTCCTTCGAGAAACACAACAAATCGACACAAATCGAATCATGCCCTGTGGATAGTTGCGCCAGTTCTATAGGTTCTTGTGTTTGACCCCTTTTCAACCACTGCGTCTCCTGTGTTGAGCATTTTTTAAGATTCTTTTAGCCTCAGCAATCTGAACCAGGTTCCGGAATTTCAGATGCTTTCTCTCATCCGAGGCTTGAGCGAGGTGAGTTCTGTGTCGACTTCGAGGAGCGTCATGCCATCGCCTCCAAGTCCAAGGAACGGGCGAAGCATGGCGAAGACGAGGCAAAAAAACAGGCGAAGCCAGTGACAAAAGGAATACTGTTTATATAGATTGAAGATGACTGAAGTATATTGAAGTATGTTGAAGTAGAGCAACATTATTGGTGATTTTTGCGGCATATAGCTACTATTAAGCCTGTTCTTTTCAGTATTTATGTGTATTTCATTGTACTTCCCTTGCCTCATGCGGTTTCAGCATTCACACCCCACAAACACAACCACAGACCCCGAGGCCACTATGTGGCCTGTGCATGTCGAAAACGACTCCCCCCAAATCTTTCCAACCCCACCCCAAAGAGGACACAAACACCATCAAACACACAGATCTTTCCAAGTCAGTCATCCGTGTCACCATCACGTGTGTCCTCTCCAGGAGCGTTGCGACGCCCTCCGCGCCGAGATCGAGCACGAGAACGTCGCGAGGTGGCGTGTTTTCTGCGAGCGAATGAACAGCAGAAAGCCAAGACTATAGAGGTACGATGAGAGGTAAGCATTTGGTGGGGGTGTCCTAGTAAACCTGTAACAGTCGGTAAACAATTACAGTATACATATAATTGCCACTATTTTAGGGAGAGGCCTGCAGCCTAACCATCATCATCCACTGTTAAATACAGGGAATGGGATATACCGACGCATTTGCATGCACTCAAGTTTTCCCTGCCATTGTCCGCGTTTATGGTTTTGTTTTTGCCAGTCGGTCACCCGGTGTATATAACGAAAGCCAGCCGATAGGCAAGGTGGTCGCTGAGCGAAACCTTTTGATAGGGTGAGCCCAGAGCTTGGTAGGGGAGATCGCGGCAAAGCGAGGGTCCGAAAAGCAGTGAAAATGGGGTCTGGTGATGCGAGTGATGTAATGGACGCCGAGTAGTGCATCAATAGCATCATGAAGGGCTTTGGAGACTATTTGGACAATGGGCCTTGAGCACTCGAGTGGAGACAGGGACCCACGTACAGAGCAGACCGCAGCCGCACGTAGGATACGAGTTTCCAGGACAACCCGCAGCCCGCCAAATCCATAGAGAGCCGCCGAAAGTGAGCTCAAGTCCATGAATTTGGATTGAGCTTCGGTGGGGGTGCCTGCGAGGTTGACTACATATCCGCATCGGATTCCTGCCCCCCTAGTAAGACAAAGAGAAGCCCGTTTAGCAGCACCTGGCTTTCGTCCCCCTTCTCAGGCTAGGCTGTATATTTATATATATATATACACACATACATACACAACATATAATATTTAATAACGATATCACCAAGATATAGATGATATATATGCATATATACACTTTACATGTGTGTAATATACTAGCAATTATGACGGGTTCTTTATCCCACGGTGGGATAGGCACGTCACTTGACCGGTTTGTCGTCTCTCCTGAATCTGCAGGCAGTTGATTCGAGACAGGCTCATCAAGGAGTGCGAGACTAAGTGAAGCGTCGAAGAGTAGGTGTTGTCCATCAACAGGGAACTCTCAGAACTGGCAGAGGCACCCGGAAGGAAATGAACGCAGAAATAGACTTAGTACAGACATGTTCGTCAAGAGCCACTGGCAAGAGTTCCCCACCCAACGTCGTCCCTCTTTCATCGTGCCCAGTTCCTGATCTCGCGAAATCCCTCTCCAGAATGGACCGCGTACCAATAGGCCGACGCCCGACCGAGTCGAGCCCTGGGCGCGTTCCGTCCGAGGTTTTGGGATCCGATGCGCGGCAAAGGGTGCCAGATCACCTCCTTGACCTCAAGCTTGGCCGTGTCCAACTATCCCGAGCGGACGGTGAGCGAGGAGTGAGTTGAGAGTCGGTCGAGTCGGTCGACGGTTGAGTCGCGGCGCGGGGTGGAGTAGGCACTGGTCGGTGTGGATATCTGATATGGCGACCCTGTGAGCTTGTGGCAGGAGGAAAGCACCATCACCAGAAAGCTGAGAATGCTTCGAAAAAGTGAGCAGCTGGAATTCCAAATGTTGAGCCCTCAGCCATGTCAACGCGTTTTTGCAGACTATTCTTGCAGACCCTTGCCTGGTGAGACACTCAAGGCTGAGAGGCTCTAGCTGCCCACCGGAGCTGAAGAAAGACCTGGTACTGGACGTGGACCACTTTGCTTCAGGAAGATGCGGCATGTCCATTCTTTCTGAATTATACGTGTAATGACAGGCAGACCCACCTCCCCCCAGTGGGCTTTGGTTCAATTTTGCTTCTTCCGTGTCTCACTAGGGCCACTAGGGATCTCCCTCTTTAGTTCAATCCACGCCCATCTCAAGAGACCGAACAGCTTGTTTGTTGCAGTGAACACATCACTGCACATACCACTGATTGAATGCTTCTGACCAAACAACCATTGTTTTACTAAGGATTTGGCATGATTCTGCAGTAGTCTGCAAAACAAAACCAGGTCAACAGTTTTTAAACACGATCTTGGAAGTGAGGGCAGAGCCCAAAACGCCAAGGTTTTTCCCTCTTTTTACACAGACTACTTCTGATCCGAACATGATCCGAACGCTCATCAGTCTTTGTTAAGCAGAGTCTCGATGGACCTTCCGCGGTTCCAGACCTGCGAGGCCGCGAGCAGTACATGGTCAACTGGTGGCCTGGGGTGCACACCAAGGCCGCACCGGTTCGCCCGCACCGGTTCGGGTGGGGAACCCCACCGGTGGGTTCGCGCCCGGGTGAGGCCTCCGAAGCGCGGGCCAAGCAGTTGGCAGAAGTGGAGGCAGAGGTGAAGAGAAGAGCAGCGCAGCTTGGCGTCAGTTGGACGAGAGTTCAATAACCAATGTACGCCAGACGAGCAGCAAGTTGTAGTTGGAACTATGATGGTAGGCCTGTAAGCCTTCTGACAGCTGTTGCGGATTCATGGTTTGGAAATCAGTCCGAGGGAGAAGAAAGCCGGATACTCAGCTGTTGGATGATGGCATATGCCCATGCTCACGTTGCAGAAATGTGGGTTGGGCTTCGGTCAGTGGCCAAAGAGCATCCAATTGAGTTTGCTGGAATGGCACATTTTACTATTTTGTACATGGTCTTGATGGAGGGTTGGCATTTGGATGAGGCCAAAGAAGATGCCGAAAAGCAGAAGGCCCATCGTCCGGTCATTGGTCATTCCACCTGGGCCTCTTCGCTTTACCATTCCTCCCACCACTTCTTCGCGCGAAAAGACGTCCCGCGCGAAGACGCCTGGGTAGCGCGGAGCGCGCTTCGCGCGGAGCATCGCCCGGCCGAGCCCAAAGCGACAAAAGGAGAAGGACAAAGGCAAAGATGCGAAAGGAGAAGAGTCAGGCACTGCACTGCCGACAACCGACTCCCGGTGCCGCTTCACGAGCCCGTTTTTGTTCCGGTGGCACCTGGATGACCTGGATGACCTGATCCCCGGAGGGCTGACGGGGTTGGAATGAACGGGGGTCGTTTTCAGTAAAGCAGCAGCGTTAGCAGCGTTCTTTGGCAGCAGGAACTTGAACACATTACCACCTGAGATGAAACATATCCAAGTTTGTCAGTTGTTTTGCTTCTGACAGCTTTATGCTCCTCCCGACAAGCATCGGACGAACTCCGAGCAATGCTGAGAGAGGGAGGGAGAGGGAGAGAGAAGGAGCCAACATACTTCGGAATGATCAGTAGTCTTAGTTGCTTTGGGTCATTATATATATATATATTATATTATATATGATATATTATATAGTTATTACTAATTAGTCAATATAACTTGTATTGTTCATGCTGCATGGGTCACTCTCTGATATCCCGGATAAGCACCATGCTCACTTCTCGGCTCACGTGAAGAGAGATATTTTTTTTAATATATATGACACCCCAGACGTGGAGATGAGCACAAAGCATCTCCCTGAGGCATCAAGACCATTGAAGAGACGGGTTCAGGGACCAGCGCTGATTCGGCCCAAGTCTTAGTGCTCTTCGCTGGCTTTCGCCACGTCCGATGCTTTCTTTCTGGGTCATCCGTTCGGTGAAATGGACGTGCTGAGATTGTGGCTGAAGAGCAGAAGTTCTTGTACGAGCCCTTTGAGCTGGTCACCAACAGCAGAAGGCGTTTGCAGGCGTTTTCCGTTTTGAGTGGATCCTGCCGGTTTGGTGTTTTGTTTGTCTTGTTATTGTATACATGTCAAAAACAGCTGGAAGCGGGCGGTCTGGGTCAACTTCAATCTTCTGAAATAAGCCAACAGGTGGAGATGCAATTACCTTCAGGGTTTGATCCCGATCGGCATGGTCAAACAGATCCAGATCTTTCATCGGCTTCTCCCTCTTCTGGTCTTTGAACACGGCATTCCGTCCATGAGCGTTCCATGGGCGTTTCATCCATGGCAATCCATGCAGATCCACTTGCTGCAATCCTTATCTGCGGACTACCGGATGCACTTCAACGAGCTCTTCAAGGCCTGCCAAGGCGGGTCCGAAGCTAGGTCTTTTGCCAGGCGCTGGGGGCAACAGTTGGATCACCGTTCCTTTTGCGGAGGAGGAACGGCTTCAATGAGCAGAATTTCGAGATTGCTTCAACATGAGGGAACCCCTGCAACCCCATATATCACATAAGACCTGACCTCCCCCAGGTGATGGGGAAACCCACCAGACATCCATGTTTGGCGGGACATAACGGGACATATATTGGGGGATCCCCCCGGTTTTGGCTCCGACATTCGATGAATCCGTGTGTCCAGATGTCAGCGAACGGCACATCCAGACATCAGCTCTCCACATCCAGGCGACAAGAAGAACATCATCGTTCCTTCCTCAGTCGTTCCTCTGAAACGCTTTCAGCCGCAGCCGCTCTTTCTGTTTCGCCCATTGAAGAAGCTTTCCTGGGCCTCCCTGGGTGCGGTTCGTGGGTTCGAAGGCAGAGTGAGTGATGTTCCAGCAGTTGTAGCCGCATCAGGATGGAATCAAAGAGAAGTGTAGCCGCATCCACCAGATCTTAGGGGCTCCTACCTTAGTGAGCAAGAAACAGTATCGATGGAGCCAGCGAAGGATGGATCATTGGACAGCGCAAGCTGCTGGGTCCCTGTCAGGAGCTTCAGATTGAGGAAGAGGTCCCAGAACCAACCCTGCAGGAGGTTGAGGACTCTGACTCAGTACTGAAGGTGCAGGACAGACCCTTTGGCCTTTCAACCGACTTCAGTTGAAGAAGCTGTCCCGGTCGTGGCTGCAGGACCATGAGATTGCTGTAGAAAAGTGGATTTCTCCTGAAGAGTTTGTATCTCAGTTTAGTGACATGAACAGGCCAACTTGCAACTCACTTACTTGACTAAGGAGAAAGGCCAGAGAAGAAGCAGCTGCAAAGGAGGAGGCTCCATTGGCGAAACATGCTTTTTCACGCAGTCAGAGTCGAGCATAGTCACACAGTCAAGCTCATCGCTTTGACTCAAAGTTGGGCCTGGGGGGTCAACCTCAAAACCACCCGTCGGAGCACACTCCGAGCTCGCTTTCTTTCGCCGGAATCGGTTTCCTTCCTGGACATCGGTTTCCAGGAGCGCTTGCGGCAGCTGCGGGAGAACGATGCGGGTCAAAGAGCACTCGTGACCTTCTTGAGCCGCGACCGTGACGGGCCGATATTGACAGAATCCGCACGAAGTTCGCATCGCGTCTCCGGCGCCCACAGAGGGGGGGGGCCATCTTCAAGGGTCCGATATCGCGCCAAGACCACAGGATCGGGCATGACAGTTCCTTGGGGGTGGGGGGGCGCGGGCTTTGAAAAATGACCTGCAGACGCAGGATGTTCAACCTTTAAGATGATTGAACATGATTGAACCCACTGACTGACTAGCAATTTTTTTGAATGTATTTTTCAAGTGAGTTGAAATCACCAACCAGTACTGCAATTAGTGAAGGTACAAATGATGGGCGGTACCTTGAAGACGAAGAAGGCGCGTCAATGAGATGTCCTCGAAAATGAGATGTCCAAGACTAGTTGTGACTTAGACGGGGCTTCTTGCCGCCAGCACGGTAAGTCGGCTTATTGATTGACTCCTTAGGACTTGACTCCTCTGGAAATCGTTCTGGACAAAGAAGCCTGGATGGATGAGATCCCAGAGGAGGACATGTCAGGACCTAAGCCGACGGAGGAAGCCCACGGTGTCAGAGATCCATGGCCCCATGGCCGGACGACCATGGGTGAAACGATGTGAAACGGCGGTCAAGGACCTTGAATTCACTGAGGACCGAGCTTCAAAAAGCTGCCTTCGCAGAGTATCAGGCCAAAGAAAAGGCTCGGCTTGGTGGGAGAGCTGATTTGAAAGTGGATGTTCTATTTCTGGTCTGTGACTTCAGGCGTTAGCCGAAGCGCAGGAGGCTTACAAGAAGCAGCTTTCAGCAGAGCTGTCGCGTGGCCTCGTCTTGACACAGGGCTGAGATGGATTCGGAATGATAGTTGCAACGAGTCAATGAAGGAAGTAGCGCCCTGCCAGGAAGAGCCTGCGAGCAGGAGTTCAAGAGTTGTTCCACACTCAGATGCACAGCTCGTGAAAACCACGGATCTTTGTTTTGTCTGTGTAGGTCATATGAGGCGACTAGACACTCTTTAAGGACCTTGCAGTTCGAGGGGCTGCTCAAAAGGCTTCACCATGAGCGTCGCGTGGCCTCAGTCAGCAGAAGGCAGTCCCGGTCATCGACCAGAATCGAGCAGAAGCGAAGCCACACACGTCGACGCCCAGGTTTTGCACACGACGCCAAATTCCTTTGCCAAGAGCTGTGCGACACTTGGGTAGATCGAAGCAAGAGAGTTTGGTTGATGGCTTTAGGACTTTAGGCCGATAGGCTTCGCTTCAAAGATCCTTTGGGCGAGCACGTATGAGATGGTATCGTAGTCTTCTTGCTCATGGGAAGCGCATCGAGACGCGCACGGAAGCTGGAAGAGGATGGATGTTTCGGATGGACAGCGTAGTTTAGGCGGGCAAAGCCTTGCAAGTGCTCAGGGGTGTCTCTTGTAACTTTGTAACCCTCATAATTTTGTTCAGTCTGTGGGGATCTGTGGGGCATCAAACGAGCGCACGCATGTACTGGAGAAGGCGTGTCAGAAAACATGGAACGGCAAACGGTTTTACGTCCCTCAACATTCACAGTGTTCTGGCTTTGAGCTTGTTTCTTGGATGATTTTGGTCATCGAAAGGGCGGCTCATGGCTGAGGTACTGTGCGCGGCTTCAGCTTGCTCTACTACAAAATGTGGAGGACAATCTTGTGCGCGAGCAAGCTGAGCTGGATTTGGCCGCAACCTCAGCAGGCCTTCTTTTGTGCTTTCTGGGGGCTTACTTTGATTAAATGATGAACTTAGGAAGCATCCAAAGCAAAAGTACTGGGCTGTGAACAAAGAGTGAACGTTTGGAGCTTGGCAATTCGCTGCTTCTTGTGTCTAAGCTGAGTGCTTCGCATGGATGAAGCGCCCATGCAGCCAGCGCGGTAGAGTCGCTGGCCCGTGGCAAAGGACTTCACGGCAGAAGTTCAACGAGTGAAAGGGGAACAGGCTGCAACTCCACCGCTGGGTAGACGGGTGCTTGCCGCATGCACTGTATTCAGTGATGAAAGATTTGAGAAGGCCGATTCTGAGAGCGGGACCACCATCGTAAACATGCTCGGATTTTGAGATAAACCATGATCAACCATTGATCATTTTCCTCCAATCTCCAACCATGGCGTTTGTCGCCCACAGGACGACCGTGCTCGCTATGAGAAGGAGGCGGCCCCGTTTTTCCCAAGCCTTTTCCTCCCATCGGATGGCGTTGACGGTCTGTGCTCAGGTTTCCTCAGCGCAGCATTTCAGGCAAGCGTTTGCCAACTCCACACTCGAGGCGAACGCCCACGACTCAGACTTGAGGGAGTGGAAAGCAAAAGCCAAGCCCAAAGAGAATTTCACGGCTTCAAACACATCTGCTTAGTTTAGTGCAAGGTTGAAGAAATGAACACTTTTTAAATGAACATTTATGTAATAAGCAGATTTACCACGCAACGCTTTCAGGCAGTTGCAGGGTAGATGATTCCTGTTCTCTTCCCCCTTCTGGGACGACCTTTTCGTGATGCTCAGGCCATCACTACCTTGCTACAGCCACGCACTGAGACTCGACACTCTTTCTGGAAAGATTTTGCATGGTGATCAAACCAGATGGCAGACAGAAGTGCATGTTCATATCTTCATTGGTCTATACCAAAACCCCCGAACCCCCGTAACCCCCCGGCTACAGGGGTACCGGGCCGTGCCCTGAAGCCGACAAACACGCGGGAGAGACTGGACGGGACCTGCGGTGGTATATCGACTCTCCTGGTGCAAACATATTGCTGGAAGGCTCTTCAGGAAGAAGAGGGAGAAGGATCTCAATCGGGTGCAGAGCTGAGCGATCGGGCGAAGGATGTTCCAATCGACTTCAGTCAGATGTCGACGGGCCGAAGTCGATGTCGACGGGTTGAGTGGACGGAGTCGTCCTCCGAAGTCAAGGGAGGAACGTCTTGTCGCTGGGTGCATTCTCCATGAGTCCATGAGCATCTTTCGGAATGGCCGAGGATGGTTTTTCCCTAGGCCCTATCGAACCTCTAAAGGGAACTACCCCGTTGCAAGCTGTTGCAAGCATTTAGACGTTTTTTTGCTGTTCAAGTACACCGCTCAGGGCACGCTGAGGATAGCGTGAGGTCAGTGCTCAAGCATATGGTTCGTCTTTCGGACGTTGCTGTTCGGTCTAGACAGGTTGGTTTGCAGAGAAAGGAGAAAGGTATACACAGGTTCGCTTCGTTCTACTGCCCTTGACACAAGTGGATAGAGAGATCAGTGGCAACTCGCTTGGAAAGCTTGAGACCATGTGAGATCTTACGGTCGGTGATGAAAGAACGTGACGAAAACCGGCCATTGGCGACCCTACGGCCGTGGGAGGGTAAACACGAAAACCCAACCTGTTTCGGATCGAAACCCCTTGGGACTGGTACTGGATCCACAACAGGTGGACTGGTACCGGTACCTTACCTCCCTGTACTGGATCCAAACATCTCTAAACACGTCCCACGTCTCTTGGCCTCTTCCTCCTCAAGACGGGCCGACAGATCCCCCGGCCGAGGCCCGGTCCTTCGCGTCGGAAACCAACGAGGGAGCACGCACGGCACGGAAGAGTGCGCGAAGCCCGGCAGTGAGATGCAGTGAGTCAGCTGAGAGGACATGGGCGACCATAGGAAGTGATACAAAGGAGAGGACAAGGGACCTGAAGAACTCACCAAGCTCTTTTCTTGAGGGGAAATGAATTGAACATGGATGAACATGCATGAACTATACTTAGGGGATCTTAGGGGTATTGAAAAATTGACGCTGTTGTCGGAAGTGCTTCAGTTGACGGCTCTGCCAGTCCTCGGCTGCCTTCAAGCTGCCTTGAATTCTCAGCTGAGGTCTCCAACCTCTTCTCACCCAAAGGGGCTCCCTCCTACACCCCGTTCGACGCGCGGCTCCCTGGTTCCCTCGACCGACCGTGTTTGGTTCGAAGACCCGATAAGGACGGACGTGTTACGTGAGACGTGTCGGAGGTCACTGGCCGTTTCACCGGGCAGAAAACGAACGGGATCATGACGGTTCCAAAACGGTGAGGGGCAAGAAAACGGCATGCTCCTGTTGATGGTTTATTCTGACAGGTGGTGGCGGACCCCTATGCTGACCTTGGTGCAGAGCAGGGAGCTTAGATGAGCTTAGGGCACTGATGGGAGCTGACCTTGTTGTGCGTCGTATACTGGTGTTACTTTGCTAGTAGGTTGGAGGCCATCGCCATTAGAAACAAGTTATTGTAGTATATACTATGTTCTTGTCCAAGGCCCAAGGCGGCCACAGATGGGCAAGTGGAAGATGACATTCGAATGGAGGCAGGTGATTCCTCCACGGCACCCAATCATTTCAGGGGAACACACGGGCAAACGCAATTTAATCTTTTTGTACTTATACAGCATCATAATGAAACACAAACACACACACACACATATATATATATATAGTACCACATTACTTGCTCGTCACAGCATCTCACAGCTGTAGACAAGCTGTTTTATTTCCTTTGCAGAAGCATTCATGGCTTTTGTTCGAAGGACTGTCCTGAAGGCGTGGACGAGGACCGGCAGGTGTGATGTGTCAATTCATTCACCAGACGTTCGTAGCGATGCCAGGAGCCCCGTTCGTAGCTTGTTGTTCCTAGTAGTAAGGCCAGGAGCCCCTAGAAGCGTCCTGTCACATGAATCACTTGAATAGCTTGAAGATAGCCAGAACTGTTCCTCCAATGTCACATCAACACCTGGTTCCTCCAACGAGGGGATCTTCCGGCTGGTCGGTCCACTGGTTCTTCCCCCTGGCGCTGCGCGCCGCGCCGTGCACCAGGACAGCTTCAATCGGATGCGCGAGCTTCGCTCGGAGAAGCTCCGTGCCGAAGCCGAGGTGACCAAAGGCGTCGGCAGTCCCAGTCGAAGAGGGATCGGTGCGAACAAACGGCAGGACGCTACGTGTAACAAGGTTCGCTACTAGGGGCTCCTGGCCGTACTACTAGGAGCAAGGACGTTACTAGGGGCTCCTGGCCTCGCTACTAGGAGCAAGGACCCTAATTACTAGTAACAAGAAGCTGTTGCAATTTGCTGTTGCATCATGCATCATCATGCATCATCATGCATCATCATGCATCATCATGCATCATCATGCATCATCATGCATCATCATGCATC